GCTGAGAATTCAATTGTTAACCCCAAAAAAATGTAATTCCACATAATATTAAGTAAGATTGATTCGTTTTTCATTCTTGATAATAAACTTAATTACGGAACAAGATGAGCACAATTAAAAATGTATTTGTGTATAAATCTCATAAAAATTAATCTCAAGGATATTATGAGCTGTGGGATTAAGTCTTGTATAAATGGAATTAAATTTTAACTCTCTCAAATTTCATTATTCTGAGCAATTTAAAATAATAATGTGATTGCGGTCTTAAAAATGATATCATAAATAAGATTTCCATGCATAAAAACGAGAATAAGAGATAAAATATGATTAGTCAAATATACAGTAAGAATCTCAAGCTAGTTGCCTTCTGTCAAAATAATAAATTGAAGTGAAATGCTGTTGGAAATACTTTTGTTTGTTCTCTATAATGTGTGATTTTATGTGGTAGATAATCTTTTGAGGTTATGATTTGTATAAAGAGGCTGAATAATCAGAAAGAAGAACAAAAAAATGCCATAATTAAGAATTATGAACCCAATTAACGAGAAACAGAATAAAAATGTCCATTGATGCTTCTTATACAACATCTTCAGTGGTGACATGGAAGCTATAACATTCTCGATAATAGATGCGAAGAGGTCCTTAATTCTACTCATTTTGCAATATTGATGCGTGGGGGTGTTCAGCTCCCTATTTGGTAACGAAAAACTATAACCCTAGCAATGTCACTGTTCTTCTTATAAACAGACTTGAGCAGTCTAAGTTACTGACAAAGGTTGCTACCCATAACTTAATGGCTACGCAGCAATTAAGTGCCCAGCTGGTCGAATAAGTAAAGCACTTGACTCAAATTTGGTATGGTAACTTGAAGGTCATCGGTTCGAATCCAGCCTGTTCCAAATTTTTTCTCTTCAGAAGTTTAGATACTTCTTACTACGACTGCTTAATGTACAAGATCAAGCCATAATTGGGCATTTGAGCAATGTTCGATTAAGGAACGGGTCAGGAACTTGAAGTATAGCTGAAAAAATACATACTAGAGCTAGAAGATTACCTTATAATCGAATATTGTCAGAATGTACCTGAAATGTGTCACGTCACGCCCATTGAAAATTGAAACGAGAGCCTGAATTTAATCGAAACCTAGATTTGAAGATTGTAAGCTTGATTCTACATCACTTATAGTGATATGAAATGTTCTTCAATATCATCAGAGGCATCAACTCCTGACCCCCATTTATCTTTCACTTCTGAGCAAGTTAATCATCTCCCGATCTATCCACCAAACTAATATGTTCCTACATTAAAGTCTTCATTAATATTTATGATAAAAAAATGACAAAATTGCCGCAGTCCGAATGTTTTTGATGAGTTGCATATGCCATTATTTTTTGCTTGTTTGTGAATTTTTTTAATTAAATAATTAAATCTTGTTCTATTGTGTAAGCTGAAAAAATGGACATCCGTTTCTGTTATTGATGATGAAAAGTAATTTAATAAAATATTATGCAGATCACGTTGTGCGGGCGGGTTTTATTCATTTTGAATAAAATTATTTTATTATTTTTCTCGATTATTTAAATGTCAACACTTGACAATGATATTTTTTCATCAATACTTATTCTGTTTGCAATGTTAACTTCCATATTTGCATAACTACATTATCCCGAGCGACACAATTTGACGATGACGATCAAATGATCGTCATATGAGCGTCTTCGTCATGACGATGATGATTGTACGACGATTTTTTTTTCTAAAATATTATGACGATCATATGACGATCATATGACGATCAAATGAAAGTCATGAATGGCGATAATTTTTGATTTTTTTCCAATTTCGATTGTATTTTTTGCTTAAACTTTTTTCTTTGAACTGTTTTTGCACTGTAAAAACTGATAATTATTTTCTGAATGGAATTTCGATGATTGAACAAAATTTTTTGAATTATTGAATTATTTTTTTGAGATTTTGGAAATGAGCTTTCATTCAATGTATGCTCACTGATTTCTAACGAATTTTGAATGCAAAAATAGATATGCTTATCATCAAAATGATCTTCAAAATGATTTCAAAATTTGACATAAAATTATCAATGGTAATCAAAGTTACCATTTTTTAAATTCACATCGTTTTCACGTGTGAATCTATTGGTTTTGTTCAGATTGAAAAATAAGTTTTTAGAATTTTGTGAGGATATGGAGCAAGATAGCTTAAAATGTTCAGAGATGAACAGTTTGTGCCTGGAATTTCACATCACTTTCAAAAAACAGATTTCAAATTGGTTGTGGCATTGCTGAGAAAATCGCAAAATACGCTTTCTGTAAGCAAGCAAACAAGCAAACAAGCAAACAAGCAAGAAATCTCAATAACGAGACATCGTAAAGACTTCTAGTTTTTTACATTTGATCCGTGCTGCTCTATACAAGAGCTGTATTGTTTTTAGGCAAGGTAGGAACAGCCGTTGCTTCAGAAAAACAAAAAACTTTCCTTTCTTATGAATTTTTCAAAACAAAAGTTCACTGTGATTTTTATAATATATAGTATACGAATGTTTGGGATATTCGTCAAACTTTATACCTTCAAACTTATACTAAGCGAAGCTCAGCTGACTCGATAGATTTATAACTTCAAACTTATGCTGAGCGAAGTTGACTTATCAAGCTTCATACATTCATACTTATGATGGGCAAATCTTGGTCTATCCATAAGACTTTGATAGTACGGTTTAAATATAATCCGCATTGGGTTTCTACCCGATACACTAGTTTGGGTGAAAATTTTGTTTTCTTCATTTGTGTTCGAGAAGTTGAAGTGAGAAGAAGGAAAATTATATTCAATCCTTTTTAAAAGTTTTTAAGCTGATTTACCTGGAACTTACAGCTCAGCGGAAGATGCTTCAACAGCCGTCAAAATTTATTTAAATCGACGAAGAGAAACTCAAGCTAAGTAATTGAAGTTGACTAATCAAAACCGATTTAACGACGAGGAAAATCAAGAAAATGAGTGAAAAAATCAAGAATATCAATAGTCTATCATTATTAATCCATCATTATTATCAAGCCATTGTTATTATCATTAATCCTAAATCATTATATTATTATGTTGTATGTTAAATGTAATGGCCTATGTTTATAATTTAAAATATATATAATTAAGAGTTATTCTACACAAATTAACACGTTTTTCGTTAAATTTTAAAAAATTATTTCAGTCAAAATTCAGCATATATATCACGGTTTATGCTCGTCGTCTCGCCATAGTAATTTTGTCATTTGATCGTCATATGATCATCAATTGACGTTTTCATTTGATCGTCGAGTGACGAATTTTTCGTCAAATGACCATCATATGGGGTCATAAATCGAATCGAGACGATGTCGTGATGACGTCTTATCATCATATGACGATCATATGATCGTCATTTATGACGTCTTTATGACGATGACGGCTGTCATATGACAATCATATGACCGTCATATGACGCTTGTGTGCCGCTCGGGTATGTACGAGAGATGTGCTCTTTAGAAACTGTCAAGTTCGAGTAAGGAATGAGCTTCAATTTAATCAGTTTTAAAGAATTCTTCTGGTCTATAGACAGTGCTGTATTTGGCATCATAATCCGACAGACGTTAGCAACCGAAAGAGTCAGTTTCAGGCAAAAATGCAGGCTGATTTGAATGATGTTGAAGGTTTTCTCAATGTGTGAACCAACTCAATTCTACCTTAAACTATGCATCCGTGAACAATGAATTCAAAAGAAGAATAAAAACTTTACAGACAATTAATAAAATTTATAATATTACCAAACAAGCTAAACAATAGAAATGATGGACATAAACTTTCAGGAACAATATGGAAAAATACTACGTCAGTTCTATCTGTTGTCATATCCATAACAAATCTCATCCATTCTTATGAAAATGAAATATTTTATTTAATTATTCAGCATGACACAAGCATGTAAGCATGCATACATCCTACATAACAGGACATTTACTGCCCTTTTATTCAAAATCATCCAAGTTCCTCAACATCAATAAACATGCGAGCAACATAAAGCAAGTTTTTACACACAGCCAGCATTTAAGTACCCCCAAGAGTCATTTTTTTCCCTGCTAAAACAAAATAAGTGCTTCATAACAACAATCTCATCCAAAATGACCTCATAAAAGAGCCAACTCTGAAAAAAAAGTTCGTGAAAAATTAATTAGGATGAAGATGAAGGAACTGAACTAAGATAAATGTTTATTGTGTCCTTGAACGTATAAATTACTTTCTGACCGAGGTAATCTGTTTGACTTGATATTTATAACATTTGTCGATTAGCAACAGCCGTTAATAGACTCTAACAGATGTCAAGACCAAATTATGATTAATCATGAATTTTTTAACACGAAAATAGATCTCGTGGGATTTTGTGGGCTTTAATTAAGACATCAAGAGTGTTTTTGAAAGGTTTAGATATTTTTTTATATTCGATCGAAAAAGTTGTGCATTAAGTTTTGGAAAAATTTTTGTTGGTTTTCTTTGAGATTTTTGTGCGACCTTCACTTCTTATTTTATTAGAATGCGTCTGGTGATAATGTCTTCAATGAATATTTTCGTCTATGGAACGTTTTAATCTTAGACACACAACACGAGAGTGTCATAATTGAGCAACTTGTGTTTATCTTATCAAGTGATGATGCTATTTTTTGGTAATCTTGAGATAAGTTTTTGCTAGAATCGAGAAACAATTGAGTTTTTTTTTTTGAGTGGTTTCATGGAAATAATGGCTGTTTTCTGATAGAATTGCAAGCTTAAATGCAGTGGATCTCAAACTTTGGGTAGTACACTAGCTTATTTTTACTAGCTTCCTATACTTAGTAATAGACTTATACTTCTTTACTAATTTAAATTGTATTTAAATATAATATTTTAGGATCATGAGCTACACTTGACTAGTTAAACTAAGTTGTGAATTCATGCTGATTGCCCAATTCTATTATGATTAGTGTAATGTCTTGAGCATTGTGCGAATTTTTGTCATATTAATAACACTTTATATCATTTTTGTTTAAACTGTGTGCGACTTCAGTCATAGCTTAATCCTAAGGTGTGACATGGCTTATAAAGTTTGCACAACACTGCTCTATATATTGATAGACAGATCGGTCTCTGGGAGGTATCGAACTCAAGTCGTCACAAAGAAGATTTTCGGTCTATTGCCTAACCACTCGCTCCACAGAGCTTTAACTCTCACACTGGCAGATTCGCCTCTATATAGCTCGATACCCTAGATTCCACTCTAAATTGAGGTTCCTGCTCCAACACCCCAATTAGATATCATTGATCTTCAAAATATTACCAAACAATATCTCTTCTTTCAGTTCCCTGCAAAATAGTCATACAATAAACTTCAAACTCAAAAAAGCAATCATGTGTCTCCAGCATAACCATTATTATGGTCTGTTGTGGTTACTATGCGTCTAATATTTTATTTTCAAAACTCAAACATCCTTTTTTTCCATTTTTATCTACCTTTTATTGCAACATCTTGTGTAAAAAAAAAGTATTAAAAGTTTTAAAACCATATTTCATCAATTTTCAATAACATCATAATCAATGTCAATATTTGGCAGTTTCATATCTTTGAAAGTTTCCCTAGAAACAGACAAGAAAAGAAGGAAAGAAATAAAAAAGAATTATTAAATTACGTGAGTAATAAAAAATGTTTTTGTTGCTATATAGAAAGTTTCAAGTCTGTTATATCACGAGAGAGAGTTAAGGAAATGGAATTTAAGTTCATTATATTGTGAAAGCTTTAAGTATGCTTCAACAAAAGCGGACGATGTGAATATAGATTAACTTACCAAACGTCTCGTTCGATGTAATTGAAGGACGGATGTTGTAGAAAACCATTAAATGAACTACTTGTTGTAATTCTATATGATCCAAAGTTTTCAAGCACAAGCCAATCACCGCATTTGAGTTCGGGAAGTAAAATTTCACTCTCAACTTGGTCATTTGGATCGCACGTTCTGCCCCAAATGACACTCTTTTTTAAACTCATTTTTGACGTATCTCTAAGTGTCTTTATAGTCAGTGGTGTTGGATTTTTGCCACCGCTTCCTTTCATCGAGAATGATTGATAAATTCCATCAGTTATGTAGTAATTCGGAACCTCTTCTCCTTCCTCATTTAATTTAATTGCTTTTGAATGGACATTGACAATCAGAGTCATGCAGTGTGTTGCGAAAAATTGACCAGGCTCGGAGACTATCTTTATGTTTGGTGCAGAGAAATGCATGTCGATAGCGGTATTTATAGTTTTAGCTACTTCTTTCTGTGAATATTTGGAGGAATTGAAATGTAAGTGGCATCTTATGCAGTGGTTCTCAAACTTTTTCAAGCAAGTCAATTTTTAAACCATTGAAAAAGTAACCTTAAATGTCCCTCATGACTTAAAAACTATTGTGTATCGCAGATCATAGATTGAGAAACACTGGTCTAAGACAATGGTGGCTAGAGACTTATATTCTGAGTTTTCTCACTCTTTTTACCCAATTAAGCAACTCTTACAACACACAAGAGTACCGTGACACACAAGTTGGTCATGACTGGTCGAAAAAGCTGTTTAGAGCCATCCTATACTCGATTCACTCTAAAAATTTCTGACTTCATTTCCATTCAATGCCCGAAATTCCCATAAAATTCTATAAAATCCCCAACTTACAACAGATTCAGTTTCATGTCCTGGAAATCCCCCTCCAATGTCGAGAAAATCTGTAACAGTTTCAAAAATAAGAAGCTTGAACTTATTCAAGCATGAGAGTAACTTTACCCATTTTATGTCCCAAAGCTGTTCCGATTCTAAAGATCTCAGCAGAATCTTCGATTGCCTTTGTATAAATGCCATCGTCCTCACATCCAAGACCAATATGGAAAGCAACTCCTCGTACATTTACATTCAGTTCGCTCGCTTTTTTCAATAAATATTTTCCAGTCTCAAGTGAGCAACCAAATTTAGCGCCAAATTGTATTTTATTGGATGATTTAGGTAAAAAGGCAAGTCTTAGGAGAAGGCTGTAAGGAATGTAAAAATTAATATGTTTTGTCATTTCTCGTGCATGTTCTTCATCTTACTCAGCATTTGGATAATGTTCTTTAACCTTTAAAAGTTCATATTCATTATCAAATGTCATCTTTGAGACATTTTTATCTTTTGCCATTTTAATGTTATGAACAGGCTTGACAGTTTGTGCGAAGACAATCTTATCAGGATCCACACCCATACCGAGCACCTAATTTCATAATAAATAAAATAAAATTTGACTGATAAGCTGTTTCATTATCAAGGTCGTCTGAGTGTCTGTATACTCACTTGTTTCATTTCTCCATGACTTGCACAATCGAAGCCAGTTCCTATATTTATTATTATGGATTGTCATTTTATTTTATTAATAATAATTTTTTTTGCGTGATGTGTGTAAGAATTTATTTGGTTGTGACATTTGGAAGATTTTACGGATTGAGGTTGACTTATATATAGGATGTCCAACTGTGCATTTTTGACAGGACAGTCCTGCTTTTTTGAACAAAAGTCCCGCCTAAAATCCTTAATGTCCCGCTTTTTTGAACCTATTTTTCTTGGAAATTGGTTAAAAATTTGGACTGTCCAAAAACCGATGGACAGTCTATTTAAATACAAATTAGAAGGTTCAAAAATTTCTAAAATAGGCAGGACGTAAAGCATAGCAGTATATACTCGTAAAATACCCATAAAACTAGTCTGGAACTTTTCATAAAAACGTCAATCACAAATTGAACACTTTCTTTCTGTATACTCAAATTGACAGCACTTGAAAGGTTTTAACTTGCACCAATATACAGCATAAAGCACATTCCAAATCACTAGGCAAATTGTCCATAAAACTACCTATCAATCAAACACATTTCAACTTACCCAACGCAGCTAACGTATTGGCAACGAAAGAAAGGTTATTGCTTTTTATGGCATAGTCCGGATCGATACGAGGAAATAGTTCCTTCCATAAAATAAATTTCTTGATAACATCACCAACATCCGTTACGAAAAATGAATCATCAATGTCGATCTCATCAATTCCATCTTGAACTAGCTTCAATAAATCAAATTTTTCGACTACACGAACTACTCGTTTTGGTTGTGACATGATGCTCCGCACAAAAGTGTTTAAATCAAACTAAATGGGTTGTGCAGAAACATTTGAGCTTATAAATAAATTTATTCTTATCAACTCAAGTGCCTCAATTCTCTCATCACGTTTTCTTATCATTTGTTATTGTTTATATACGTAGCACGTATTTTGGTGGCTATTTCAAATTATACCGAAATTATCATAGAAACTTTATATTTGAGAGCTAAAATAATTTTTTTATGACCGATTTTTTTTTTTATGAATCTGATTAGCAAACTGAGACTTATGCAGCACTCAGACAATTTAAGTCAATAGACTCTCATATCACTCGAAATTGAATTCCTCTAAGACTTAAAATAATCAATTCTTTTTTATCAAGCGAAAAAATTTCTCATGCTTTGAATTATATGAGGCATACAAATGGCATGACTTCAAATTTTATTGCCCTTTAGTCGATTACATCATGAGAAAACATAGAAAATGGAATTTAATTTATTGTTTATAAAATTCTTTAAATTCCACATTGAAATAAAATGGATGTAATGAAAATGATTCACTTGGTGCATGTTGAGCATTGTTAAAAATTTTGTGAACTGATGCTAAGGAAGGCTATTAAAAGAAGTGCTTGTTGAGGCTTTAAATGATGTAATGCAGAGATCAGGAGAAGAGTCAGGGCTGGTCAAACAACAGCATTGCAGCATACTGATTGTACTGATTGTACTGACTGTACTGACTGTACTGACTGTGTTGATTGTACTGACTTTACTGACTGTACTGACTGTACTGACCGTACTGACTGTACTGACTGTACTGACGCAATCACTGGACGCATTTAAATGATGCTGACTCTAATTATTCAACAATTAATTAATTATTCTGATTGCACAACAGAATTAAATGATTGCATGAGTCCAGACATGCTTGGGTCAGATGAGAGTATTGGCTTAAATTCTTTAGAGTCAGACTCTTAGGTAAGCATTTTATAAAAATTTTGGTATCAATTTCTTAAATTTTTTCGACAATTTTAAATTTTATCACAAATAAATTTTTAAATCCTGTATTTAAAATAAGTCTATTACTGGAAAGAACAAAAGGATTACTGAGGATTGCTCTGTGCTGTACAAAACGAATGACAAATTACATTTAAACTTCTGCATATCCAGTAACAATATTTTCTTCTTCATCCTTACAGTTTTTTCATGTACGATTATTGCCGACTTTTTCTGAGTTAAAATAAAAATGAAAAGGATCTAAAATGATGAATGTAAGGCTGTCAATAAAGGCGTTTTCTTTTTTGTGCTATATTTATCGATATTCCGACTGAGTAACTCAGTTTGGATAGCTATTCTATTTGTTTAATATCCATTTCCTATAAAATAAATAAAAATTAATTAATTCAAATCAAATTCCAATTAATTAGTTATCCATTCATGCCTCAGGACTTATTTTGAAATTAAAACATTTTCCTTACAAAAATATTTCAGCAAAGCTTTTTTTAAAATTAAATTTTGCTGCTTTTTGTAATAAAATTTACATCGAACAACAAAATTCATCATCAAAGCCATTCTCTAAAATGAAAAGCGACTCTCAAGAGATGACTACAAGAAAAATGAATGTGAAAAATTAATCTGCATAATGATTTTCTTGCCTTCATGTTCAGAACTCAGCATTTGGGAAATACTTCAAAAAAAGTTCATTTTCATCGTCAACTGTCATTATACGGATGTTTTTGTTCTTTTGTGAAACTTTTCTGATGATAAATGGGCTTTTGTGGTTTATGCAAAAAAGTTGTGTGTGTTTCAGGGCCAATAAATAGCTTTCAGTTCTTATTTTAGATCACTGATACGTTTACATAAACAATAGAAGTAGAAAATGATTTTGAATGTGCTGAATTTTGAATTTGTAATTTGAATTTTAACTTAGATGAGTCATTTTGGTTAAGATTTCAGTCAATTTCTTGATTCAAACTTTGATGAATCATTTTGGTGAAGATTTCAGTCAACTTCTTGATTCAAACTTTGATGAATCATTTTGGTTAAGATTTCAGTCAACTTCTTGATTCAAACTTAGATGAATCATTTCAGTTAAATCCTCATTTTGCAATACAATCCAAAATTTAAAATAATGATACTAAGGCACATACAGCACAAAAAAATCATATCAATCTCAAGGATCTCCAATAAATCAAAAATAAAGGGCAGCACTTTAAAGCAAATCATACCGACAAATGTATAAGAGATGACATGTCACCCAAAAAACATCTTCTAATCTTACAAAAGGATATTTCCTTCCTAAAACTCTCAATGCACTTGAAAGACTCAATTTTGTAATCCAAATGGAAATAGTTTGTCCATAACGTTAAAGCCCAATTAATTTCACAACTCATTTAATCTCCATCATCATACCTTATTAAGCAAGAGGGTGTCTAATCTAAAAACTTTTTTCCCACAACATCAAAGATCTGTGCCTGTGTGAAAGAAACTTTTCATCATATTTATTAATAGTAATTTTTCATAGCCACAAAACTCAGAAAAATCGATAAATTCAGAATAGTCCAATTTATGTTATCGACAATATTACTGAATTAATCGTACCATTAACACAAAATAAATCATTTTTATCGGAGATGAAATGATTGGCTTCATGAATTGATGAATTTGTTGTGTTTTTGACAGTATCGCGTATGAAGTGAATGTTAAAATTGATGATGCTGCACACGAATGTGTCTCATTTATATTGTTCTTTATTGATAAATTGCAATTTGTTATCATTAACAGGTTTTAAGTAAAACATGGATGCTTCCTGTTTAATATGCAGGTTCAGTAATTGGGTATGTAAAATATTGCAGCGGGTAGTCATTTTATGAAAAGTTAATACTGACAGAACGCTTGTAGATTTAATAGATTGATGTGTCGACAATTTCAGGAACTGGGGCATTTTTGAAGTTCTCTGAGACTTGGGAAGGGGGCCAACAGCACCCCCCCCCCCCCCCCCCGACTTTTTTTTAACAATAATAATTCATTTTTTCTAATTATACTAAGCCCCATACCCCCTCATCCCGTTCGGATAACAAGGCTCTCGGTGTGAGGCATGATGACATTCTCCATATAAACTCCAAACCAGATGGACATCAAGATCCCATTCCTCTTTACATTCCTACATAAAAATGTTCCACTCGATAAAAAAAAATGTTGATATATTCTCCATACCATGATAGCTATCCCTTCATTTGAATATGTTATGATAGATGGCTACAGATTATTTTTCATCATAAAAAAAGGAAAGGGTTTACATCCAATAGAAGTGGACCCATGCCGAAAAAAGCCGGAAGAGAAGTTAATTTGTTTTCCTTAAAACCTTAAAAAGCAATCAAATTTCTATGGTTGGGTAAATTACTTTCAAATTAAGATGACAAGTATTATTGACATTAATTATTCATGCTAAAGATGGAAATAAGGACATGATCAAGGAACAATTGTTGACGAAATTCCAGCAAGATGTTGCCTCAATAAACAATTTTTCCGCTGTTATTTTCATGACAAAAGTTTTTTTACTCGCCTCATTTAAATTCCATTTTTTTAACATGAGAAACTCATTAACGTAGTTTTGTGTTTTCAATACGCAGCCAGCCGTCCCCAATGTAATGTAATCCTTTAAGTTAACGTGACAAAGATTTATTGTTTGTGTATGAAAAACAATTCTTTCAAATTTGCGTTTTACATCTCAATTCTGAGGACATTGTTGTGATTTAATTTTACTTTTCTTGTTATTTGTGGAAGAACAAGGAGCTGGAAAATGGAAGTACAATAAAGATTAAAAGCAATTGTGTAATGGAATCAATATTGTTTGGTTACGGATTGAAACTTTATTGTTTTGTTGTTTTTGGAGCAAATAATTAAGTTTTAATCGAGAGGATTTTTGAAAGTATCAATTCTGTAACATTCAGCACTTAATGGCTAAGGATTTTGATGCTCTGGGTTCAATGAATAATTTTTGTTTTGTTACATAGCATTTTAGTGTCAAAGGTGTAGACTCTCTACCAACCTAATTATAATCTCCTGCCACTCTTAAATTAAAGGATGCTTCTCAAACTTAAAGGAAACTTAAGGACAGCATCACAATGTCATTTAATAGCCTTACGTTTCGATTAAACTCCGCAGATTGACCTTAATTTATAATTCACATTCCAAAAGTACATAAAACAGCTTCTTTATATTTCCCATGAGAGTAATTTTTTACCACGCTGTAAAAGTCCTGCATTTTTTTCCCTGGATATAGCTAATGGCTATCAACAGTCTCCAAAATTCTGATTCCTTTAAAGAGATAAAAGGTGTTTTTGCGACTTTATGTTTGGGGTTGATAACAGGCTATATCCTTAAAACCTTGAATTTGTAGACATCATAGATCTGTTGTACCATCCCTTTGAATGCCTTGTTTATGGCGATAAGCACATAACGACTTAGATTCACATAGAATGTGTGCCATGGTCTCCTGAGCTGTACTACAAAACCTATAAAATAAACTATATACCTTAGAGTTACTCAAATTGAGCTTAACAAGAAAACTATTGAAGACTATGAAGACTATGAAGACATCACAAAAAAAACAAGAAGGGCATCCTCGATTTGACTCGATTCGATTTTATACCAAAAATTAATTACCAGAAAATTAATTCAAATCATGGACCCCCTGTGCCTGTAAAGCATAACATGTCTAAGTACATCTGCTGTAATCCAAATTCAGCTTTCATTACAGCAATTAAACGTTAAATTACCACAATATCTTCTCCAAAGCTCACAATGGATCAATAACAATACGAAGCATGTCAATATAAATCCACAAAATTGCATAAGTTCAAGGCGCAACACATCAATTCCAATACATTATTATAAAACATTTCCGTGCATGTCAATAAATCACAAAATTTTATTTAAAAGTAATCCGATTTGAGTTGTGCATGCCTACATGTCAATAATACAAAACATTTTCAAACTGATAGTCCTTAATAATTGAAAATGTGTCTAAAATGCCATCGCCAAACGAACAATCCGGATACATTTTGATACAATCAATGTGATTGAGACCCGCTTGTCTAGCATCCTGGTAGTCATTATGAATAATCTCGTGCTCTCCTGGGGTGAAGAAAACCTCTAAAAGTTCACCAATGAATCCATTATGTCGCAATGGAGTTTCAGCAACTTCACAAATTGTCCTCAACAAGCACTCATGTCCATTTTTACCATCTTTTGTAAGAATCTCTTCAATCATCTCGTAAGCAATTTTACGTGACAAGTCGGGCTTTATATCCGGTTGATAATCTAAGCTTCTTGATTTTGGACGTGTCCATGATGATTTTGTAGCATAAACTTGCGATAAATTCGATGGTAAATCATACTGATATTGAAAATTTCTAATTGCATTGCAATTTATATATTTGGGTGTGTCGATTGGTCCAAGGTATCCAGCTGTGAATATTTTTTCATGATTTTTAGAACGATTTATGTAATTCACAGCTATACTTACCAACATATTTTGCTGTAACATGAAATATAATCGATAAGGAAATAAATCAATATTAACAAGAAATGCGTGTTCATACCCGTGCCACCATTCGGTGGGAAAACAAGCCAACGTTTTTGTCTTTGCTGTAACTTGTCTCTCATTTGATTCCTGTGCTCGAGAATTGTGCGTGCTCCATAAATTGAATTTTCTAACGATAAAAATACAATCACGATTGAAATTTTGGAAGCTAATCTCATTTTCTTGTTCTTTTATCTTCCTACAGAATTATTTATTTATATCTGTACGGTTCACTTGATGAAATAAGACTAACTTACTGATTCAATTCTTGTCGTGTCGATGAGAATGATGAGCAACAAGATTAAATGTTTATTGAATAAATTCTCATTGCAATGAGAATAATTTTTTTTTAAGTTTTATTTATTGACAAACTTTCTAATGGACTTTTTTTCAATCTTATTCTGATGACTGCGAGGGGGGAAACAACATGAAGGGATAACATTATTTCTTGCAAGGGGGGAAAGAAAATCAAGGGGAAACATTATTTCTTGCGAGGGAAAACAACATGAAAGGAAACATTATTTCTTGCAAGGGAGAAACAACATGAAGGGAAAACATTATTCCTTGCATGGGGAAAGGAAATCAAGGGGAAATATTATTTCTTGCGAAAGAAACAACATGAAGGGAAAACATTATTCCTTGCAAGGGGGGAAAGAAAATCAAGGGTAAACATTATTTCTTGCGAGGGAAAACAACATGAAAGGAAACATTATTTCTTGCAAGGGGGGAAAGAAAATCGAGGGGAAACATTATTTCTTGCGAGGGAAAACAACATGAAAGGAAACATTATTTCTTGCAAGGGGGAAACAACATGAAGGGAAAACATTATTCCTTGCATGGGGAAAGGAAATCAAGGGGAAATATTATTTCTTTTGAGGGAAAACAACTTGAACGGAAACATTATTTCTTGTAAGGGGGAAACAGCATGAAGGGAAAACATTATTTTTTGCGAGGGTGAAACAGCATGAAGGGGAAACATTATTTATTTCGATTTCCTATTATGATCCATAGCTGTTGAAAATATGTTTGGAATTTTGAATTTTTCGTGAAAAATTTGTTTTGCAATTTTCCACAATTTTTTCCCCAAAAACTTGTTTTCCCCTCAGCTTATTTTTAGAAAAACAGAGTTGATGCGAAATACTGCTTCTGTAGAAAATGCATTCAATGTGCTATGAGACTGTTTATAAATAATATTAAACATTCAAAAGAGTGGAGGTCTATGCAGTTTTATGATGGGTCAAATAAAAACAATTTTTCTGCATTTCTGCATACACATTTGGTGACAAAGAGATGGGGAAGTCTTAAAATCTCGTTTTTCGATCAACTTTATTTATGAACAGCCCAAGACATTTTGAGGAGGGATTAAAGAATCCCAATAAATAAACTTCTTTCAGAAAAAAAATCCATCAACACCCCTGAACTGCTGTCATCATCATGCAGCTTCAATTTCTTGACAATACTACTGGATATAAAAATCTTCAAGCATACAAGTTTTAAGATATTCAAAAATTGATTCAAAATTCTTATTTTGTTGCCCATATCCTTCCTTTATTATTCATTTGCTGCTGTATTCAAAGTCGGTCGATTGAAAATTCTCGAGAGACTGTTAATCCCCAATGACACAAGTCGGTTATTCGATCAGTAATCCGGCACAAAGCCGGTGTGACTTTAGCATGGTGCTGGATTTAAATCGAAACTAGCAACATGCATGAGTCACGCCGTCTGGACTCTGGATTTCTATTCGATCAACCGCATTGTGCCATTCGGGAATATCACATTGAAGGAAATGTAAAAAGGTTACGACCTTCTGAAATAAGGAAGACAGAATTTAAATCAAAAATCCATTTTTAAAAAACAATTTTTGGAACCGAAATTCAAATATTTTAGAAAATAAGCTCAGATGATTCAACACGATTTTGATGTCTAAATGATGATAACACAGTTCGAATGATTTACTTTAGATTGAAAAATATTGATTTTTTTTGTGCTTTTTGAAGTTCTGTGTTGAAATTGAAAACGAATTTTCAAAGTAATTTTCCTGCAAAATGTACACAGCAAATGCTTTCAAGCACATTCAAAAGACATTTCCAGCATACATCAAAATTTTTCTTTATATTTACCAGCCTCTAAATTTACAGCTACAGATGACTTTTACGATATTCAGAACAAAATATGTGTGTCAAGCGGATGGAAGAATTGTGGCAAAATTTATTTGTAAATTCAATTTTATGTTGCACGCATCTGATGTTAAATAACAATAATAATAATGATGAAAGCAATCACATGAGTCATTCGTTTTTTTTTACGACCGTACTTACATGAATATATTTTTGATGACGTTCAGGCATAAAGTCAGAAGAAAAAGTAGTAAATATAAAATAAACAAAATTTCTTACTTTGTTACAAGTTTATTGATCTGTTTAGCACCTTTAAAAATTGAGAACATTGTCAAAGTGAAAGTTTTGAATGATTGAGAACGAGTCTAAAATTCTATGTCCAAATGGGCAGTCCGGATAGATTTTATCACAGTCAACATGATGCAAGCCAGCTTTCATTGCATACCGATAATCATCATCAATAATTTCATGCTCGCCTGGTGTAAAAAAGATTTGCAGTAATTCTCCGATGAAGCCATTATGGCTTAATGGCGTTTCCGCTACTTGGCAGATAGTATGAAGAACACATTCTCGTCCATTTTTATGCTCCCTTAAAAATAATAAAAAATTAATAGTAGCTCTAGTCAGTCCTACTTAAAGTGTGATCCACGATACATTTGTGATTCGCTAAGACCTTCAAGTATGTCGCAAAAAAGCATGACAACTCATCGAATATAAAGTAAATAATTTTTGACTGTGCCGCAGTTGAAAAAGTTTGAGAAGCACTGTTAAAGATGCTAGGTAAATATATTATGTTTATTTATGTCACTTACTTGTTTAGCATTTCTTCTAGAACCTCATATGCGATTTTTCTTGATGAGTCAGGCTTCATTTGGACACCAAATGATCTGCCGCTTTCAGATCTTCCACTAAACAATCCAGGCCAGGCTGGAAGGTTACTGTACTAAAAGATTGAATTGTTAGTGATGATTACTATCATGCGAAAGAAAGGGGGGGGGGAGGGGGGGGGGGTTAGGCTCGTTAATTAGATCTGATCTTTAAAGATCCAATTCTTTAGGTCGTAGTTGTTTCAATTTTTTCACATATTTCAACCACATTTTGACTGGCTGTTTGCCTTAATAAGTGCTGGAATTAGGGTTTTCAATTAGGAAATGAATTATTTTTTGATTCCGAACATGATTTGAATATGATTGTACTGAGGAAATTGCGCTTTACTCGTCCGTTTTCATCTATAACTGTCGACTCTAGGCTCTAGACAAGATTTCGGAAATATAAAAACTTACCCAGTTGGCAGGCAATCCATATTGCCATTGAACGTTTCTTAAACAGTTAATTTGCTGCCAGTCTGGGATATCCTTTAAATCAATTTTATTAAAATTATTCATTTCAATTCAAAATCACTTATTGAACTCACAATTGGACCTAAGAATCCAGCCACGTATTTAAGAACACTGGTTCCAGTGGTTGGAGGAAAAACCAAAAATCTTTTTTCACGTGACAAGACATCATCAGCAATTGTTTTATTTAATTCCTTAAATTCCTGAATTCCACCATAGCAATTGCCGATGAGGACAGCACACACAAAATAATGAATCACAGAACTAAAAGAATAATGATTAAATAAGTAAATGCTATTAAATGAAGATATATTAATCTAAATGTTTATGATTACAATTTCATGATATGAACAGCTCGAAGCTCAAAATGTATACTGTCGATTCTTTTGTTTTAAGAGACAGAAATTAAATGATTTTTTTGGGGGGATAGGAGAAAGAATAGAGACAAGATGGATTTATTTGGTTAATTAATTATCACATTCTTTCACTTCATTGTTCTACATGTAAAAGCTTAATATATGCCACAATTTATCTCTTGCTTAGATTATATTATGTAGCTTTATACAGCAATTGCTTATGTGCAGCAGAGGTATTAAGTTTTTATTAATATTTTTCTAATTTTCACTTTCTTTAGTGAAGGTTTCCTTTATTGCCTCGACACGTTTTTCATTCAAACATCTGACTTGTTCTAATAAAGCAATAGAATGTTATGGACTGTCAAAAGATAGAGATGGATACATAAAGCTATAAAACGAACCTGTCTTGATGAATTAATTAGAATCAGTCAATTAAATAAGAATTCGTAAACTACAAGTTTATTGATCTGTTTAACATTTTTATGCCATTCACAAATAATTGCTTCATTCCTCAAATATCGACATATAGTCTATCCATACATCTCATTGTAACCCATCGTAAAAAAAATCACAGACCTGTTATATACACTACATGAGAAATTCTATCAAAAATTGAGGAATTCATCAAGATGAAAATTTTCAATAATTGAGAACGAGTCTAAAATTCTATGCTCAAGTGGACAATCCGGATAGATTTTATCACAGTCGACATGATGCAAGCCAGCTTTCATAGCATAACGATAATCATCATCGATAATTTCATGTTCGCCTGGTGTAAAAAAGATTTGCAGCAATTCTCCGATGAAGCCATTATGACTTAATGGCGTTTCCGCTACTTGGCAGATGGTATGAAGAACACATTCTCGCCCATTTTTATGCTCCCTTAAAAATAATAGTAAATTAATGGTAGCTATAGATGCTGGATTAATAAATTATGTCACTTACTTGTTCAGCATTTCTTCTACAATCTCATATGCGATTTTTCTTGATGAGTCAGGCTTCAATTGGACTTCATTACTGTCACCATCAAATGCTCTGCCACTTTCGGAACGCCTTTTGAAAAGGTTAGGAAAGACTGGAAAATTGGAATACTAAAGATTGACAGGAATTAACATTTATTATATTAATAAATTTAAAAATGGATTTACCCAATGAGATGGCAAGCCGTATTGATATTGAAAATTTCTGAAGCAGTTAACTTGTTGCGAAAGTGGAGTATCCTTAAAAATTTGAAATTGATAAAAAAAATTTTTTGAAGGTTAGTTCAATTAAATCATTTTTGAAAATGGATGGTAAATTAGAGCTAAAACTATCTGTTCAAATCTAGAATGTTTGTTCAGATAAAGCTTTAAAGCAGTGATATCCAAACTGTGTGCCGTAGGACATCCTTAGGTTTAGGTGCGCCGTGGATAAATATGAAAAATCCCAAAAATAGGTAGTTTTTCAGAAATTTGTAGATTTTACACTGGATAGAATGGACTGAAGTGCAAAACCAAAGAGTCGGCATAAAAATGATGATTTTTATTGAAAAATTCAAAATTGTGCCGTGGCTGAAAAAGGTTGGACAACACTGTTTTAAAGGTTATTTGCGGATAATGAGGGTTCGCAGTTAATCTTAGACTTTTTATTAAAAATTGGTTCCGAGCTACTTTTTTGACGACACTACTACTTGAAGCAAAAAAGGAGTGACTCTTAGCCGCATTTTAAGTACATCTAATTTGAAAAAGGATTAAAATACACTTGCCTAAAACCTAAAGCACTGAGTCGAAGTTGAGGAATTAGAGCCAGAAGAATTAAATCCTTTTTCCATTGATCCACTTTAGCTCTAATTTATTAAACTCAATATTTGTAGATTTGATAAATAAAAAATAAAAAAATCCAATACTAATTAATTAAGATTCAAAATTAATTTAAAATCAAAATTGCACAAAAAAAAAAAAAAAGAAACTTACAATAGGACCCAAATAGCTTGTGACTAATTTCAGGACACTTTCAGAAGTTGTTGGTGGAAACACCAAATACCTCTTTTCTCGTGACAACTTTTCAGCATCTATAGTTTCATTTAGTGCTTTAACTCCTCCATTGCATTTGCTAATCAAGGCTGCACTAACGAGTATAATCAAAAAAAATCTAAAATAAATATTTAATAAATTTGAGATTCCTTTTCAATATTCTTAAAAATTTACAATTTCATTATGTTAACAGCTTGGAGACCACAATTGCCGCCGATTCTATTGTTTCAAGAGTTAAAGACTAAATGAAAACTTTCGGGACTCATGAAAAGAAGAAAGACAAAAAGTCTATTTTTAAGTCTAAACCAATTAACACTTTTTTATTCTAATTTTAGTCAACCATATATGCTATAATTTGCTTGTTGTTAGGAACATTCTAATCTAATGGAAAATTTTTGTTTCTAAGATAATAAATTGATGTTGTGCAAATTTGTTTAATTTATTGAGATTTTAAGTCTACCTAAAGTCTAACGGTTTTTTAAAATTCAAATGCTACGTAAAGTACAATAGGGTGAATGCCTGATTTTTAAAAATAATTCAATATTTTACTAAATTCATAAACATTTGGTTACAAAATTGATATTCAAAATAAATTATTAAGGAGCATCTAAAGTTCAATCTACCTGTCATTCAAAAAATAAACAAAAACGTTAATTTCGAAATATTCAAAACAAAATTTTCGAACAAGTCGACATTCCCCTGTCATGTTCGAAACGTTAAAAACGAACAGTAAAGGAAAAAAGTTTGTATTGTGCGTTTGTTTTTAAGAAATTCATCATTTTTTCATTAATCAGTTAGTGCCAAATAACAGAATCAATGCCATGAGTTCATCCTTAAGTGTCAGTGCAGAGAACTTATCGAATGATGCGGTAAGTATTTAAAATCATAAGAAAATTAAGGAATACGCCCTTGAAAAATCTTAAACGATAATGTTTTTAAAAGTTTTCGTGCATCTAGGCTGTAAATTATCATTATAATTAGCTCAATTTATGATGTTTTACATAGTTAAACAAATCTCATAATTACAATAGAAAGAAATAAGTGAAATCAAGAAAAATTCCCATACACAAATTTAAAAAAAATCTTCTCATAATTTTTAATTGAGTACAGCGATGACTAATCTTTTCTATGAAAATTGTGTGCACTCATTTTCTTCTTTTCTTCCATTTCTTTTACATGTTTATGTATTGTTTTATATTTATTCCATAGAGTAATGATGGAGGAAGTTCAAGTATGTGTTTGGAGCTCGCATTAGAGGGAGAACGTTTATGTAAAAGCGGCGATTGTCGCGCTGGAGTTGCCTTCTTTCAAGTAAATTTATTGCAAATGACATTTTTGTTTCTTTTTATGAGCAACATGTTGCATCACGTCATAAATATTGGTTTACTCATATATATTTCTTTAGGCTGCTATTCAGGCCGGAACAGATGATTTACGTACATTGTCGGCAATTTATAGTCAACTTGGCAATGCTTATTTTTACCTTGGTGACTATGCTAAAGCTATGCAATACCATAAGCTCGACTTGACATTAGCACGTAGCATGAATGATCGATTAGGTGAAGCGAAATCATCAGGAAATTTAGGAAACACGCTCAAAGTCATGGGTCGATTTGATGAGGCTGCTTTATGTTGTGAACGACACTTGACTATTGCACGACAACTTACAGACCGTTTGAGCGAAGGTCGAGCACTCTATAATCTCGGTAATGTTTATCATGCCAAAGGAAAGCAATTGGGACAAAAAGAAGGACCAGGAGATAGTTCAGAAGAAGTAAAGGAGTCATTAATGAAGGCAGTTGATTATTATCAACAGAATTTGACACTCATGCGTGAAATCGGTGACCGTTCAGCACAAGGGAGATCATGTGGAAATTTAGGAAATACTTACTATCTGCTTGGAGATTTTCAAGCAGCAATTGAACACCATCAAGAGAGATTAAAGATTGCTCGAGAATTCGGCGATAAAGCTGCAGAAAGACGAGCTAATTCCAATTTAGGAAATTCTCACATTTTCTTGGGACAATTTGAGCTTGCTGCTGATCATTATAAGTAATTTTTCTATTGTATTTTAATTAACTTTCATGACTTACAACAATCCTCAATTATTTTTCAGACGTACTCTAGCTTTAGCAATGGAACTTGGTGAAAGAGCTGTTGAAGCACAAGCATGCTATAGCTTAGGAAACACATATACTCTACTTCGTGACTTTCCAACAGCTATTGATTACCATCAAAGGCATTTGGGTATTGCTCAAGAATTAGGTGATAAGATTGGAGAAGCTAGAGCTTGTTGGTCTCTTGGAAATGCTCATGCTGCCATAGGAACTCATGAAAAGGCACTTCATTATGCACAACTTCATTTGTTTTTGGCCAAGGAACTTGGCGATCCAGTCGGTGAGACTACAGCACGAATTAATATTGCTGATTTAAAGAAAGTATTGAATGTACCAGATGCTCAATCAGATACGGAATCTTTGAAGGAATTACAACAAAAATTAATGCAAAAGAACCAAAATATTTCACAATCAAGTACCACGTCAGGTATGACTAGACAACATCGCTTGAGAAGACAATCTATGGAACAACTAGACTTGATAAAATTGACACCAGACAGCAAGAAGCAACAGTCTGTTGATCTTGATCATCTTCCAAGCAAGAATCAAGAGAACGATAAGCCACCAAAGGAAGAAGACTTCTTCGATTTACTTACACGTACGCAAAGTAAGCGAATGGATGACCAACGTTGTACTTTAAAGACTACAGGAAGCGAGAAAGGCAGAAAACCATTGACACAACAGAACAATAATATGAACGTAAAGGATCAAAAGAAACTTTTGGAAATGATAGCTGACTTCCAAACTGAGCGTATGGAGGAACAAAGATGCGAACTTTTACCAGGTTTCAAACGTTCTGATAAAAGTCCAGGACCTCCACAGTTGACAGAAGCATCATCTAGTAACGATAAACCTGTACCAGATGAGCCATTCTTCGATATGTTAATGCGTAGCCAAAGCTCAAGATATGATGAACAGCGATCAGAATTACCAAAAAATAGTGTCATCCAAGACAGTGAACAACCAAATGATAATAATAATGTAATGCCAGCGAGAAACGAGCCGGCAAGAAATCGCACGACATTACCAGACGAGGATTTCTTTTCTCTCATAATGAGAGTTCAAGGTGGACGAATGGAAGATCAAAGAGCTACCGTACCTGTGAATACAAATCGTAATAATAATAATAATCAGCAAAATCATAAATAAGTCCGCAAATACTTTATTTTTGGTCATCAGAAATTCATGCGGGTATAGAACATTTTCACACTCATTCACAAAACAAATTGCGCCGTTTTAGATATTCTTATGAGAGTTTAAGAAAAGAGAAATGAGAGAACTATGGGAAAAACTTATTGGATTTAATGAAAATTTCATTAGGTTCATTAATTTACTCGACACAGTTCCACTTTATATACTAATCTTTTTAAAAATATTCATTCATTCCTTACCACTTCTAAAGATTGACTAACTGATTAATTAATCCTTGCCATAGATTTTTTACTAAACAAATTTGCTTATTCTCATTCCATCTTTCTATAATTAATATATACAAAAAAAATTATAATATTTTTTAAAACAATTCTTTTAAGAACGATTTCTAAAGACAAAGATTTATTATAGTGTTTTATAGCAATGTTTATTACTAATATTTTATAGCCAAAAAGAAAAATTTGAGGAAGAAGAAGATGAAGATGATGTGCAAAATATTTGAAGCTTTTCAATCATTCATCCATTCTATGGATATTATTGCGTACAAATCATAGATTTTTATTCTTCGGTTGCTAACTGGAACGATAGTTGATATAGTCATTTTTGTGTATAGATACAGAATTTAATATATTTAAAATCTTTAACAAGATGTCCCTCAATTGATCACTATTCGGTTTTTAAAAAATCCAAACCTTTTACTAGACACTTGTTAAAACCTTAAAGCACCTCCATTAAAATCATTTCATAATGAGCTTTAAGCTTATTAAATCGCTCTATTGCATTTAAAGTTGCTGGCTGGTAGTCTGCTTAGTTTGTGAGTCAAAAGGATCAATACTAGGTTTGAACCTGTGAATATCAGTTCAAGTATATCCATCTGGAATTTAAAATAAGGATAGATTCTCCATTGACGTTCGGAATGATGATTTTACAAAAACGAATCAATTAGATTATAAAACAAGGCGTTCAACATTGAAAAAATGTCAACAAAAATTAAAAATTTCGACAGCCAAAGACCAAACTCTTATTAAGTATAGCAAAGACTACAAAGATTGAGCATCATTTATTTAAAACTGAACCCACTTAATTTTGGAAAGCAAAACTGATTCCAGTCAGCAACTTTAAAACCTCAACATACAAAAATCTTCAAACATCATGACTTCATTTATGCCAAGTCCCAGACATTCATGAGAAAATTTTAAAAATTCGTAAATTCTTTTAAAAATGTTCTAATGAGTGCCTGAACCTTGGTCTTTATGTATCCTAACCTGTTAAAATCTTATTCTTAAAACAATCTATAATTCTCATTAAGAAATTTTTAATACTACTCAAAAGATTTTTCAAATTTATGTTAGGAAAAAAAAATAAAAATATTTTAATGTTGGTAATTTTAAGCTTTGTAACTATGAAAAAAAAAGAAAAAAATTATATTTTTTAAAAAAAATTATTCATCACACCAATGAGATATTTTTAATTTCTTTTAATAATCAACAAATTTAACCGAACAAATTTTTATTGTAATTAAAAAAAAACTTTAATAAAACTAAAATTTTAACAATTTTTTTATTTCAATTCTTTATTTTGATTTTTGTAGTATTTTAAAATGAACAAAATGTATTTTAAAAATTAAACTGTTTTCACCCCGGCTCCTCTTCTATACAATCTAGTTTTTAAAAATCCTTAGTTTCCTTTACTAAACTAAGTTTTAAAAAGGAAAAACATTTCTGTCCATTTAACAAAACTATTTAAAATTAAAATATGATGGAATAAACAAGAATGTTCATAGTTCATATAAGAAGTTGAAAATAAAAAGTCAGAAATTTCTTTAAAAATTGGAATTTATTTGAGTTCGTTGGGTTTCAGAAAGCAACAAGAAAGGCTGGTTTGTAGTTCTACTCAAGGCAGCAACACTAATCATAGGATAGTGTGTCCTGGAGACTGACTTAGTAATCGCTCCTCAATGGCTTGGTGAGAAATCTTTTGAATATTGAATTTTTGATCAAGCGGAAACTAAGCTTGCTAACCTAGTAACGCCCCTGTTACTCCTTGACCTTCTTCTTTCTTGGATGTCATGAGTCAAAAGACATGTGTCGACAATGCTAAGTTCACTGCTTCAGATACCCTAGTAAAAAACCAATAAGAATTCATTCAACTTTATGATTGTTGAATAAATAATCAAACCCAACTTACACTAAATCAAATCATAACTATCGTACCAAAAACCACAACCTCACAACTGCATAAATATAAAATTCATTTAGCAACTATTCTCACTCTCATTTCTTCTTCTACTTCCTTCTTTTCCTTCTACATATTCCTTACTCACTGAGATTAAATTGAATTGAATTGCGGAGTACAAAATACGTAAAGTATAAAAAGAATAAAATAAACGCTGTGAATCGATAAATCACATAGTGGAAATTGAATTTCTGAATGAATGAGTCTCAATTCGCTTATGCAATCGCCAGGAGATGAGATGAAAATGAAATGAGCAATACTTGTATGAGAATACAATATTTTGATAAATTTATTATCGATACATCGATAAATAACACCTTTAAAATTGATTGCAAATATTTTTTTTTTCGCTTATTTTCATTTACTTTTTTTTCTTCGTGAAAGAGATCAAAATGGATATAGTGATAAGTTTGGATAGGTTATAGTGAGAGGATTGAAAGCGCATTAGGTTAATAATATGTAAGTGAAATAGTCAAAGTACTAGATTATGATGTTGAGCTAGTGATAGAGAATTGATTAGAGTTATCTGATTTTTTGAAGACGCAGGTTCAAATCTTATTGAGAAGTATTTTGACAAAATTCGGTTGTTCTTCCAAATTGCTGGGTATTGGGTTCCTCAAATAAGATGAAGAAGAGTTTGAAACAACCTTACATGTCAGGTCAGACTTAAGTCAGGTCTAGGTAAAGTTTAGGTCAGGTCTATATAACGTCTAGATCAGGTCTATGTTAGATCTAAGTCAGATCTAGGTAAGTTCTTGGTAAAGTGTACGTCAGGTCTTTGCCAAATCTAAGTCATGTCTAGGTAAAGTCTAGGTCAGTTGTGGGCCATGTATATATCAAATCTAGTTCAGATCTAAGTGAAAACAAAAGCAGATCTATACCAGGCTAATATAATAAGTATTAAATCATGATGAATGTGTTTTCCTGGTTTCAGTTTCAGGTCACTATTATCAGACAAAACTGCATCCATATCTACTCATATCCATAATAACAATCCACAACAAAGTGCATAAATGAAATAAAGAATTTCTCATAAAGTTTCTCACAGAAATCTTTTTTATTTTATTTCGAATGTTACGTTCAGGTTTAAGACTGCATGTAAATTATGCAAATATAGATTTTTTCACTTACGTTCAATTGCTTTTCTCCGTCCACACGTGAGGTGATCATAAATAAACAAAGTGAAGCTATTTAAAAAATCTGTAAAAGAAGAGAAATATATTCATATTGGAAATTATGAAATATTTATATGTAGAAAATCGTTTTAGCGCCTTGCAAAATTTATCGATTATGAGATATGATTTATGTATGTTGGGAGCATGATGAGTGAAGACTATACAAATTGTCACAGCTTCTTGCTTGTTTATGAAGATGATATTGGCTTGTGATTTATTACTAGTCGATTGTGGATGATGAATTATGGGTCAGGTGGCTGAATTCAGGGTTTCGGATTGGTATGTAGGCAGGAAGGAAGCACCATAACTAGCCGATCCTTTCAAGCTTAGAATCTTTGATTGGATCAGACACTTACGCAAGTCCAACATTACTTAATAATGTTTTCTATACCCAGCACAGCCTAAAACAGGTCCCTATACCCACAACCCGCACAATCACAATCGTAAGCTATGCAAATATTATTTCTCATAATCGCATTTCATGCACACGTAAATCATTCATAAAAATTATTGATTTTTCTCTTATTTTCGTTCTCATTTTACTTTTTATTTATTTACTTTTATTATTTATGAATATTCTCTCAAGTATCTGCTCCTCAAACGTATTGGCAAATGCCTCTTGAAATTTATTTCATTCCTTTTTCATTTTATTATTATTTTCATGTAATTATTTGTTTTTACATTCATTTCATTTTAATATTTTTTTTCTCTCTCTTTTGCATTCACAATTGTTGTGTTTGCTTCACAGTTCCTTCTCTTCACTTCTTTTATTGCTTTGAATGTGCGAAATGCATAAATTTGTGTGTGCATGATGATAGGAAAGGGAATGGAACTTTTAATTAAAATTTAATATTGAGCAAACTGAGCAAAACTGAGCAAAAAAACTAAGCAAAACTGAACAGAAATAAGCAAAACTGAACCAAATTGAGCAAAACTGCTTAAAAATAAGCAAAACTGAGCAAAATTAAGCAAAACTGACAATATTTTGAACTATTCTGAACCAATTTCGAGCAAACTTGGCTACAATGTTTAATTCTTGACCAAAATATATAAAAATCGACAAGAAGTTTCCATCCCTAGCTCAACAAGCGTAAGAGCGTTTCAAACAAGAAGAAACAAAATTAAAACCAAAACAGAAAACAACAGCTCAAGAACATAAGTGGATATATGAGAAAGGTGCAGTTTTTAGATGACGACGAAGTGCGTGGTAAGTGCAGCCAATTGTGTATAGCACGATAGAACTGTTCACAATGAGTTATATCGTAGGTGGATGAAGCGAAGCCATTGTTATTCACACAGACTTCTGCTATGCAATTTCGCGGAATTTTATGGCCTTCCAATCGCGCGCATTATATAGCTTGTTCGGAATTCTAAGAAATTTTTCGCATTTGGGTGCAGATTTCACGACTTTTTTTTCCATTTTATTTTATTTATTTTTTGTATTGTATATTTTGTTTCATCTCTTCTTGCCTCCTTTTCCTATGCTATATCTTTCACCACAAACCATTTGAGAAACAATGATCATTTTTATATACATACTTAATATTATTTGCTTCCTTGCTTTGCAATTTTTTTTTATATTTATTTATTTTAAGAGGGAAACAAAACAGATTTTCGCATTTTTTATTGCCGATTGGCAAAACAATCGAATGGATGAGCTAGAAATTCACTCCACTGAAATATTTCGTTAATTGGATGAAATTCTTTATTTTACCCGAATTTTTGATTCCCTTCTGTAAAATGCGTTTTTGTTGAGTGCAATTTTATAGGAGGTGGGCAATGGCGAGCAGTTTGTTTCCTCAAAAAATATTTTGGTTTTTGGATTTTAATTTACAAGGTTTTGGGGTCTCTTTAGAGCAAATTGAGCCTCTTCAAATAGAATAACAGGTTAAAACATCTGCTCATTTAACCTATGCCTATATAGGGGTTGTTCATAAATGATGCTAAATGTGGATGAATCAAGTCTGACCTTGTGATGAAGAAGCTGGGGTGATCAGGGCTGTAGCTTAGACTAAGGGTTAGAGAAAGGCACTAAAAATTTGGTAAAAGGTCTCTTTACCAGTGTACCCTCATGAAGAGGGGGGGGGGGGGCTAGGTGGTTTGATCATTATCATTAAGTCCAGAAGTTCAGCAAGTCGGTTGAGTACCCAAAAATCAAATCCTACCAATATGCGCTTCAGACATCATCATCTTTCACTTATATTCGCTGAAGTATGCATCTTATCGGTGCTTCTTGAAATTCTAACAACCATCCTTTCATTTTTGGCCCTTCTTGTTCACATTTAACAAAGATTTCATTTTCATGTGAAACTTCTCGTCTTTTTTTATCTATTATGTAGATTTAGAGTGAAAAATTTCGTCTGATGGAACATTTTTGTTATTTTTTTTTTGAAAAAAATCCTTGAAATTCATTCTAAACATGTTTAAATTTGTGTTTCTGAAAATTTTGAGTTTTGTGTTATTTAACACGTTATTATTCGTGAAATTACATTGATGTTAAGGCTTCTGGGAATTTTGATACAAGAAGGTGATAAGATGTTGTGAAAGACAATCGTGTCGAATGATTCAGGAGAGGGAGTTGGCGATTTAAGATGTTAATAAGGGAGACTTGGGTTCTTTCTCATTATCCTCGTCACTTTGTATGAAGTAATATACAGCTCCAGATCCCTCCTCCCAATCATTGAACGTCATTATTATTTTGACTTTAGCACTGAAATAAATAAGGATGCAGAACTTACTAATCACATCTTGATCATTTTGGTCATTTATTGACCAGTTTTGGTCATTTTTAATCAGCTCCATATTTTTGGCAATCTTTTGACACTGAAATTTATGGACAGATCCATTCAACGCCTCCTTATGAAAAACCTTTTGTAGACAATTCTGTCAACGCAAAAATAAGGCTACAAGTGGCTCGAATACTTATCAGTAAGGCAATATATAGAACATTAGAAACCTTCTCTTATGTTAGATTAGGGTTCGATTCCCAGCATAACCAGTTTTTCAATTATTATATAAAGCCAATGACTTATCCGGGGATGATTTTTGGGATTTGATCACCAACTTCGATAATTACTAGCCAATCCTCCTTAATAATGTGTTGCAAAAAAGCTAGAATTCCTGCATATAAAGCTCATGACTTTTGCTTCTATTTCTAACTGTTCAAAAAATAATACGGCCTGTTTCACTAAACTGGATTATCCTCGGTTTCGGATTATCCACTTCAGTTTTTTGGAAATATCTCCAGACGCTTAAGGTTATTAAGAGATCTAATGTGTGATCTAGTTAGAGTATTTTGCTACTTAAATTAACATAAACTTAGAATTTTTATATCTTCACTAGTTTGAGAATTATAGCAAATATCGAAGATAATCTACTAGATTTGGCTAGAAAATTGAATAATTAATACTTCTTAACGAAAAGTAAAAGTTTAAAGTATACAGAAATTTCAGGCATACTTCACTCTATTATAATCCAAAATTAGAAATACCACACCTCCCATAAAGTTTAAGATATTTACAAAAAACTGAAGTGGATAATCCGAAATCGAGGATAATCCACTTTAGTGAAACAGGCCGATAATTCCATACTTACCTCACCTTCTGCTTCGAAACTCCAACAACATCTTCAAAAACCTTGTGATAAGAAAAAAAAGGCAGAAAAATATGGAAATTTAATTTAATTGGCCACCCATACGAGCAGTCACAGAATAAATGCAACAAAATAAGAGAAAAAAAAATACTGAATCATCAAGCCTTTCACGGAATCATGAATGAATTCGTAAGAATTCTTTAAAGTGGAATTCAACAGTAGCAACTTTCAGTTGATCCCACTTCAAAAAGGCAAAAAGACAAAAGAAAGAGGAGCCATGTCAGGTACGAGTATCCAAAAATTTCTTTTCCGATGGGAACAAATCATAGTGCAAATAAATCAAGATATTGAAATATTTTGCGGTTGCAGGCGGTGTCTCTAATTAAAAGACATATTTTAGACATAATTAAGAAGTGATCTATTGTTATGGATGGGGTGCGCAGGTAACTTTTTTTTACTGGCTTCTGTTTTTGGATAGATTCTTCAATGGAAGGAGAAGAACGAAAAGGTTTAAATTAATAAGAAAAAATGTTCACAGCAATTTATGTCTCATGTTCTGTTTTTATTTTTCTCATTCAATACCATTTGGACTTAAATTATTATTTTCTACTATACACATGATATTATTATGAAACTCTTTATATGTTTATGCTACATATTTCTACATTCATCATATCTGCATTTTTCTCATCTGCTTCTTATTATTATTTTCAATAAAATATTATTTATTATTAGGTATGAATACCTTAATCATTATCATCATCATTACTACCACTGGGGATATTGCCTACATATTTAAGAGTTAAATTTTTTTTAATTAAGAGATTCATAATGCTTTCATGTCATAAATTAATTGAATTAATTTTCATTCCTGATGGTTAATTAAAGTAATTAGCGATTAATCAATTAAATCATATATGTATGCACGCATGCATGATGTATTTTATGTCTCATGTGGGATTCTACAACTTATCGTCATTTCCATTTTTGAAGGACTTCTTCTTGAGAATTTAAAAATTTATTAAATTATGATTGCAAAATCGCAACATGTGTTGTTGGGTACTGATTCTTACATAATTATCTTTCATGGTTAGTGCTTAAAATATTAGTTATATAATCTATGACTTATATACATGAATTTTGTGATGTTGCTATGTAATCAAGGCGTGAACATTTAATATCTACAGAATTTTTAAATGGTTATGTAAATGACTTTTATTCTATTTTCTTTCGTAACTTTTTTGTCAGCTTTTGGGGGTCAATTTTGATGAATTTAGGAGGTGAGTTTGTTATATTTTAGTGAGATTTTGGATGCTTAATTTATAAATTTAAATTTAATATTTATGAATAAAATAGACACGTTGAAACCCAACATTTTGTCATATTTAAGTATAATAGGTGAGCTTAACAGATGCGTAGCCAGAGGGGGATTTTGGGGAAAAATCCCCCTTCGTCTTGAAAAATTTCTTCATTTGCCTGAGTTTTTATGAAAAACTCGAAAAACCCCCCTCCCCCCCTCCCATTTAAAAGTTTTTCATACAAAAAAAAATTATCCCCCCCCCCTCTTTAAATTCCTGGCTAAGCTTTTGGAGCTTAATAATAGTCTTAGTCACTTATGACGTTACGCAAAAATCAAATTTATAGACCCTTCTGTCCCCACTTGTTATAAAATTTTAAACCCTTTGACTCCAAAACGGTTTAATCGTTTAAGTTTGTCTTAAGGTAAAGATATGGGGTGCTTGTAAACCGTCCTAGCGAAAAATTTTGAAAAATCTCACGAACCGTGTGCGGCTTTGATGATGGCTCACTCCCAAAGTGTACTCTAGTGGCACCAAAGAAGTATCTTTAAGACATATTGTAACGAATCCAGCAAAAATTAGAATTTTCAATTTTTTTTCAGATATACATGCGCATGTTACGTGCGCATGCATGCGCATACATGCGCATGTCAATTTGGCGAACCCTAATCTTTTGGGACAGTGCTTCTTAATCTTTTATCAGCGAAACACTAGTCTGGTAATTCATTGTAAATTATTCTCCATACCTCTTCTCTCATATTGAATTAAAAAGCTTGGAAAGCACAAGTCGGTTAATCGATCAATAAATCCGACAACAAGTGACTTTGTCATGGAACTTGATTCAAATTGAATTTGCGAGATTCAAATTATTACAAAATTTTATTCAAAATTACTGGAATTTAAATCCTAAATTAAAGCATCCTCAAATTGACCTCTCTTTCCATCCCAAATCCAAAACGACAAAATAATAACCACAATTCTCTAACCTACACAATTCATTCTAAATCCTCGTTCATTTAACATTGCTTTAATCAATTTACATCATTTTTAAAGAAATTAAGATTAAATCACCACTCACAAAACAAAATAGAAATTTATAACTTTTTTATAATACTGTTAAATTTGTTGTCTCTGATTTGCACTGAATAATGCTAAGGATGATAAAATATCTCTTAATGACCCTGCATGATGTCCAACGACTATCGTCTACCCAACAGAGCCATTAAAAATAAACCTTAATAAAGCTCAGAAAATGTCATGTTGTGCATCTCTTCCAATGCATGATGTGAATGCGATGGTGTCATGTCCGATTCACTTGAATTTGGTGTATGAATGTCTGTGGGTGTATATGAGGTAATGTTGGGTGGACAATTTGGATTTGTTTGCATGCCTCCATCCTGACGCATGATGTTGCGTCGCCATTTGGCTCGTGCATTTTGGAACCAGACCTTTGGGATTTGATTGAGGTGAAAAAATATGTCAAATTTAATTTTATTGAAGTAAAATACCTGCAAGACTCTTTTGGACAGACCAGTTTTCTGTGCCAATTGCTTTAAATCTTTCGCGTCAGGATTCTGATTGATTGCAAAGTACGATTTCATAGTTCGAAGCTGGTGATGCTTAAAGGATGTTCTCATTCGTTTGTTACGTGATGTCGGTGTCATTGCACCTCCACTTCTTGGCGATTGACTTCCATCGTATGACGACAACTCTAAACTACCCGTAGACGCAAGCTCTGATGCATTTAAAAGCTCTGAAATTGAAAATTTGACATAAATTATTGCTGATTTTGAACGATTTTCAATTAGCTTGATGATTGTGAATTTTAAACATAAATGCCTACGAGCACATTAAAATATATGCTCAATTGTCATTTAAAAAATTCTTGTGAGCATTTTAAATGCAAATAATTTGATGTAAATATTTCCTTTGTTTTTCATATTTGCATATTTTCATATTTTGTTTTTGTATTGAAAAAATATGTGTATAATAAAAAGTATGCAGCTACATCAATTCAAACACACAATAGCATTATTTACACATTCTACTGTGTGTGTTTTTTTCTGCTGTTTGTTTTGGTTTTTAAGAATAAAAAGAATTTTGGGAACAATAAATTTTATTTGAAATTGGCAAATATTCTTGTGAAATTGAATTTAATTGATTGTCAATAAAGAGTTGGAATTTAGCATGCAGTGACTAACATAAACTTTGTAAATAGTTTTTGAAGTTTTCTCTCAACCTCCTTCCCAGTTTTGATGATATCACCCCCTCCTTCTTCTCCTTGTGTAACCCTGCTAAGAAGCTTATATTTAATTCCTGTCTTAGGCATGTCAAGGGAGTAATATCAGGCTCGTATCAAGAAGTAAAGCATGGAGATTGCCCAGCCTTTTGAGCTTGAGACACTGCGATTTAAATTAGAACATAATCTATTGTACCAAACCGATTAGACCTTCAGTTTATAGTAGAATCCGAACCACATGCAAGATCATCACATTGCAAAGACACATACTCGTGTCTAAAGACCTGATGAACCTTGCAATGTACCTAGTGTGCCGAAGACCTCAAAACTACAACTAACGAGCTTCGTGAATAGAACGGCGAAATGGAAAAAGAGCTTTTAAAACTTAACTTGGCCTGGGATTAAACCCAGAATCTTTGGTACGTAAGGCCAACGCTCTATTACTTGCCATTTCAACGCTAATCATAGCAAGGGGGGTTGGGCCGCAAATCCCACAATGTGAACAAAATTTTATTCATTTTGCTAGGTTTTTTATGCAGAAACCCTAAAAACCAAATTCCCCCTCTATAAAATTTTCAATACACAAATAGTTTTATCCTATCCCCTTAAATTCCAAGCTACGTCCTTAGATAGGATTCAATATAAATTAAAATTCATTCCCAATTTTTAATCAACATTTTCCACCATCCAAGACAGTCCTATTCCACGTGTAGACTTAACATTTTTTTCTGCCTTTTCATCATTGAATCAGATAGATGTAAAAAGAAAGGAATAAATTCTATACTTAAGCTTACAATTTTTATGATGGCGACGCAATGGAAATTTTTCTCTCTTTCACTTCTTTATTATGCTACTGATTATTCAGATATGAGAATAAAAAGGCGATGGATATGAATAAAAATAAATCATGACGTAAACTTTTCTTCGTATTTGGTTTTTTTGTCCATATTTCTTTAACTTTTATCAATTTATGGAACATCAGTTAAGGGGGTATTTTGCATTTTTGTAAGGTATGAAAATAGCAGTTCTGTCTCTTCAAAAAAAAAAAATCTCAATTGCAAATTTTTATGCTTTTCTCTAGACAAACTGGAATTCCAATTTAAATTTTTTAATATTCCTTATATTGATGCTGGAGCTGAGATCATGGGAGAAAGAAGGCATAAGTGGAAAATTATGTTGTTATACAATCCAAGTTAGCTTTCAAATTTATTGTAAGTAAGACTTTAGTTTTACTTTGTAATGAGGAATGCTGTATTAACATTAAAGGAATTAGAATTGACTGGAGGGTCTGCTTGATCGGATCTGGAGCTTTAATAAAGTATTTATTGTTCCTGTATAGTTTGCAGGGGCGTCTTAAATACTTCGAATGGTAAACTACGGTAAAGTCTGATATTTTTTAAGTGATTAAATGGGGGAAGTCATTTGATTTTTTAATGTAGGTCGAAGAGACAGAAATCTTTAGTAAATTGATGAAATTTATCAAATACTAGAACTGGTTTGGGGTTACTTCCTTTAAACTATATGAAGGTGAACCTGCCAGTACAAATATAAAACCTATCAGACTTGATAGTTAAGCCAAAGGCTAGAAACCTTCATCCTTCTCTATCATATGGACGTGGGTTCGATTCCTATTACCAGCCTCTATCTTTCAATTATTTTGTAGAATGTAATTGATAAAGGAAGGACCAAGGAAGGACTCTCACAATGCCTAACATTCCTTTCTTGGAGTACATTCAAAATAAATTAAAATTCAGGGACCGGGATTTAGAGCTACCTTGGATTGTAAATTGACTTATTAAACTTTGAAGTATTAAATAAAATTTGGGCAAAAGAGCAAGTGAACGTCCCAAGAACTCTTGGAGAGAAGCAATTGACAGAGACAGTATTACACTTGATATTGGGAGTTGGCAATCGGTAGCCAGCTATAGAGCAAGCTTCAGGCGCAATCTAAGGAACACCATGGATCATAATTGATCTGTGCGGCCAGAGAAGTAAAGTAAGTAAGTTTCGGCTTTACAGAAAACTCACATTCAGCAAAAAAAGCCTTCAAAACTCTTCCTCTGAACCTATACCCAGCAAATAATCACCAAATCCAGATTAACAATGATAATCACCATTTCACAAAAGAATGCAAGCTGTTCCGTTCATCTCACCGCAATTCTTAATCAACGCTTTTACCCAGAACCGTTTTGAGTAATCGTAAATCAGAAAATTTTCCGAAAAAATGTGTCACACACCTCAACATGACGATGTTAAAAAAAAGATAAATCAAGATGCAGTTCTTTTTTTTATCAATCAGCAGTTTCTCTTTTACCCAATTACCCGTATAACGCAGAAGAATATTTACGGGAAGATAAATGACTTCACATATGTGTGATTTTTTTTTAAAAAGTTTTATCTTGTTCCAAGTTAGGATAGTCCTTAATAATCTTTAAGAAGTGTGTGATTTATCAGCAATCTATTGATGTAATTCACAAAAACCGTTAAACATTAAAAAGTCACGTAAATAAAAAAAAATACTTCATGTTTATGCTTTATTCCATCATCATCATCATCACAAAAGGGTATTTTAATTGTATGAAGCAGCAGCAGCAACAACATTATCCTCATGTTTTTTTTTTGTATTCTTAAGGGCTGTTGTTGTTTATTTTTTATGTACGAAACATCACAATGTAAGTATGTGTCATCAGTTTCTTTTGTTTTACTCTCAGTCATACACAATTGAGTGTCATAATAGCATCACGTTTTATTTTTAAATGACAATGAATTTCATAAAAAATAATTTTTTTTGTGTGCACTTCGTGAAGTTTAAAAAATAAAATTTCCCACGTGAAACTCACCTAATCGATTCTCATGTAGATGCTCGGGTGTAGGACCATCGCCGCTTGTATTAATAATTGTCTCATCACTTTGCAATGGTTTTCGCTTTCTTGGTCGTCCTTTCTGTTGTGTCGTTGTGGTTTGCGGAAAATATGGAATTTGTTGAAGTGGAATGTTTGCAGCTTCTCTGGAATAATTAAAGTGGGGAATATGAGTTTTTTCAGGTTATAAGATTTTTGAGGTTATGAGATTTTTTTCAACTTTTTTGGAGTAGAAGATTGAGGAACAAGGAGAATGGCCCATTGAGGGACAGAATTCAACCTCAATTTCATTAATTAGAGGGCTCAGGTGCTGAACACAGTTTATTTAGATTTAAAATTTCACACGCCCACAAATTCTAGACTCGACCCTAGTTTTTCAAATTTTTAATTCATGACCAAACATTGGAACTGCATTCCATACACATCCTTCCTTCAATCATCATTTTCTTCATCATAAGATGAATTCTAATGCTATCCAGGAGCCTCTGAGAGAAATGTTTGCTCCTTGGAGCTTCAGAAACTGGTAAAATCTACGATATCCTCAGTTTAGTAGACACTATTTTAAAATAAAATCATCCCCAAGCAATATATTTATGTAAACCTCATTATTTGCCATCCAGCAACCGTCATGGCTCCTTCAAGACACTCTTAAATCTATACTAATTTTTTCCATTAATATACCAACAATGGCAATACCCTGACATCCACATTATGCTACCCCAAATCCACAACAATACTCACAATTGCAGCTCCGTCTCATAATGCTCACAGCAAAACACTCGACCACCTCTTATGCCAGCTGTATCTCCAGCCGATAATGGTAATCCACAAAGTGCACACGAGAAACAATTCACATGAAAAACTAAATCTCGAGCACGCATCACAAGATCACTAGAGCTTATTCCAGCACCGCATCTCGCACATCGTCTAATTGAAAATATTCTGAAAATAAGACACAAAAGAAGAAAAGTAGAATTACAGTTATTTGAAATGTCCTTGACTTAAAAACAGAACATAAAATGACTTCTTATTGTTCTCAAAAGTTTTGTTGATTATTACTCTTCACCTGCCATGACATGCATGCAGAGTCGTCTCTTATAGATTTCTTTCCCAAAAGTCCAATTATTTTTGTCTTATTTCATTTTGATCAATTTCAAGTTTTCTTGTTTTATTTGCACATAATTATTATTCTGTTTATAAAAAGAAGTCAGTGAGAGATAACAAGAGGATAGGCTCGAGAGAAATTGATGACGGATTTTTTTTTTATTATTGAGAAAGAAGAGCACTTATTGATTGTGATGTAAAGGCTTAGCATGAGTAATGATTAGATTTTGAGAATATGTTGCTCCTTATCCTGGGCGGAACAAGGATCCAGAGTTTTGTTTCATTTCGCTTGATTCCAAACAGAAATAATAATTAAATGCAGAGGTTGGCAACCTTTTTTGTGCCACGGCACACTTTGTTGCTAAACCTCGACTGAAACCGTACACAGCACATGGTTTGTGGGATTTCTAGGTTTTTTCGCGGCACTAGGTTTGCCATCACTGATTTATGCATCAATTCCAGGAAGCATGAACATAGCTAATGATTAAGGGACAGATTCTAAGGCTTTCCAGGTCGTACTCCCCTACAATGTTATTTTATTGTGTCTAAGGCAGGGTGGAAATTCGTACCTAGTTGCCAGGAAACATTTTTGACTTTAAGACTTTTCTGACGAGGGCTTTGATGCATTTGATTACTGAGCTATAGTTGAACTTCAAATCCTTTAACAACCTTCTCTTGTAGAACATTAAAATCAAGTTCCCATTTCAAAAATTGATCAGCACAATTTCATTACCCAATTACTCCACTGGGTAAACATCAATTCAAACGCGTAATTGAAAACAAAGAATAATAATCCTAAAAAAACGTAGAAGTAAGCATCAAAACAGAATAAGCAGCAAAAGAATTGGAGCCGCAATTCATCAAATAAAAAGCAAACTGTCATCACATTTTATGATCAATTTATTTGATGGAGCCTCCGCTTCTTATTGCTCCTCCATGGATTCGTTTTCAATTGCTTTTTATCTCCATTCTCGCATGTCAGAATCAGGCATAAGAACGCATCTTCAGATCTTCAGCCTATTGTTGCCATTTCATTTTGATTTGTCACATAAAGGCAATTTTCTCTCAATTCTCAATTTTATACATGTAGCCATGCTGGTGAAGATGACAGACATATTGTATAGAAGGGGCTTTGTGTGTATGAACAGATACGCAATTAAATAACGTCTGATTTGACTCATAATTTACAAATCAAACGATTAGAAGCAAAATGAGATGAGAAATTGTGTGCGCAGGAATTCCAAGTCTGTTTTGTGCTTCAATCATCGCCGCAGTTATTTATGGAAATAATTTCTCATTTTAATTAGAATTTTTGATGAGATGCACTGATGGAATGCATAACATGAGAATAATTTTAAAGACGATTGATATGTAATATGATGCATTAGATGTGCTGATTGTAACATTGTAAGTTGCTAGATTTTCCAAGATACAATGTAAAAGTTTCTAAGATGTTAATGGAGTTGTTGGATAGAAATTTTTACATGGAAAATTATGGATGAGTACAAAGTATGTATTTGGAAATTTCTACTTTTAATGTCTTGCAACAATGTTGAAAATTAGGAATGTGATGGGAAATTAATTGATCGAGATGTTGAAGTTTTGCCGCAAACTACTTGTTTTATTGTTTAGGACTAGATAAATAATAAGAAAAATGCGATGAATCAGGTGAAGTTAAGAAACATATTTTCTCGAAAGAAACTAGTTTAAGGAGCAATCTTGGATTGAAACCAGCAGAAAGGTGAAGGCTTTAGAGTGCTGCTTATGCGTTATTTTGCCACTAAGGTTGGCTGTTAATCATTTGATTGTTAAATTGTGTTGAAACCTAATTGACAACTCAAAGTTGACTATCACTGGCGTTGTAATTAAATCAATTGATTTTTCAAACTAAAGAATTGAATAAGGAGGATTTAGTAGACTTCGATCCTCAGCTTATTCCTTTTACTTATCCTCTTACTTATTCGGTCCACAAAGCTAGCATGTTAAAACTACTCCATAGCAGTCTTGTAGATATATGAACTATTGATTGATGTGACTGTCGTGTCTGAGCAAAGTGGATTCTGGGGTATCGAGCCATATATGGGCGAATCTGCCAGTGCGAGAGTTTGACTTCTGTGGTGCGAGTGGTTAAGTAACAGACTGGATATTTGTAACCATGTTTGTGAGGACGTGAGTTCGATTCCCACCAGAAACCGATCTCTCAATCATTATAAATAGTGTTGTCGATATGACAAGGAATCACACAATACTCACGACATTCCAGTAACAGAGCACCAATTAATAATTTCAATTTGATGGACTGACTTTACTCTAAACCTTCCAAATAGATAATCAACTAAATTGATCAAAAAACTAGCTTTTATCGGTATCTTAGCCTACAAATATGCATTTTAAGTCTAATAAATCCTATGAAATCAAAGCACATTCCCTATTGCTAGAACTACTTCACCTAGTTAAAATTCCATCAATAACAATTCCACATGAACTCAAAAAATTCCATAGGAGTTAAAAAAATATTTTTTTCCAAACGGTGAAATCCAAACATTTTACTTCCATTTTTAAAAATAAGAATCTTACATCTCCTAACATTATCCCCCTTGATAATGATGATATTTTACTCAGAAGCGTCTGCTCCACTGCATACAATACAGAATAGAAAACCATTTTGAATATTGAGCTCACATAAGTTTATGGAAAATTTAAATGCTCCCTGTGGATATTAAATATCTTTATGTCGCATACAGCATTCGAATGCACATAAGGAGGGCAAAAAATGAAAAGATTTTAAAATCTCTATGGAAATAAAGTCTCTATCTTCCTATCTATAGAATTAAATACAACATTGTTCATCTATTTTTGGTCGTTTAATATATTTAAAAAAAATATCTATGTGCTGCTACAAGGTGTGTTGCTATATCGAGTATAAATAAGTGAGAGAGAACGGTTCCTTGTTTGTTATACGATGCATGCGAGGTTTCATATTGAGTATATAAGAAAAAGTATTTGAAAATAGCTTAAAACTTGATATTGAACGTGCAAAAATTTTCATTATATTGATGTGGAATGTTGTAATTAGCGATTCTGTCTGCGTTGCTTTTTTGTTTTGCGTTAGAAATGAATTAGGATTTAAGAATTTGAGCGGGTTTTTACTTCCTGGGATTTATTGAACAAAAAGGCAATTTTGTGGATTTCTTTGAGAGAAAATAAAGGTGAAAAAGTCATACAAGTTAAAAGATTGCTTTTGTATAGTTGAATGAGACAATATGTTATGGTCAATTGGAAGTAGAGAAGCTTCTATTTGAATGATATAAAGGAATAGCGACAAGTTTAGGCTGTGATTGTTATGAATTAAATTATCGAGTTCTAATAGGAATCGAACTCACTCAGCCATAGGAGCTGTTTATGGCTAAATCTTAGCAATAACAGATTCTCCTACGTATTAAAAAATGATTACTTTTTACATTGATTAGTGATATCACTAACGGTGATGTAGAATCAAGCTTCCAATCATCAAATCTAGGTTTCGATTAAAATCAGGATCTCGTTTCAATCTTCTGTTGCCGTGACGTGATACATTTCAGGTATGTTCTGACAATATTCCATTATAAGGTAATCTTGCAGCTCTCGTTCCTATTCCTCCCGCTAAACTTCAAGTTCCTGATCCGTTCCTTAATCCAAATTTGCCTAAATGTACAATTATGACTTAAGTCTCGTACATTTGAAGTATCTAAACTTCTTAAAAACCAACAAATTTGGAAATGGCTAGATTCGAACCGATGACCTTTGAGTTATGACACCAAATTTTAGTCAAGAGCCTTACCTATTCGACCAGCAAAGCATTAAACATAAAACTATGACACACACCTAGTTTATAAGACAATCCTAAGATTATATAAAACTCAATCATATAAAAATAAGATGACAATCTACAAATTGCACCTCATTTCTCTCACAAAATCCTGCTAACAATAAACAAACAAATTTTTTTGTCTCTTTTATCGTTTATGCTTCTGTTTTCTTTTTCACCGTTTTCTTTCCTTATGTGCAGCACACATATATTCCGTTTTTCTTTCGTATTTTTTTTTTTTCATAAATTTTAAGGTTTTCGTTGAAGAACAAAACAGTAAAAACAAGTTTCTCCACATTTTCGTATTTTCAAATTGTCTCGCGATTTTTTATTTTTATTTTTGTTTTGTTTTGTTTGTTGTTCATTCAATTCAGCTTCTTTTGTATGGCATTATTTACCAAAAAAATGTATAATATAAAATAAGAATTAAAGAAGAAGGACAGAACCTATCGAGACATCAGACGACGATGCACAAAAGAAATTGTTTTTTGCTGCTGTTGCTGCTGCCAAAATGGTTAACTGTTTTATAATTCAAGTTAATGCAATATTGAATAAAATAAAATAAAAAACTTGATTCATCAATGGACAAATTTAAGCAATGAAATGCAGAATCATCAAAATGGAAGTCGAATGTCATTGAGAGGAAAAACTTTCATAAAAATTCTTCAAAATATGACTGGAAATCGCGGAAATCGTGCCTGCATGTTTTTTTTTTCGGTTTCTCCATAAAGTGAAGAAATATTTTCTTCATTTGCTGCAATCATCCATCCATCAGTAGTACCATCAATGGAAATGATTTGTTTTTATGCAACACGAAAGCTCATTTGGAGATAACTTTGAGGTTTCAAGTTTTACATTTATCCATTGATGCACACACATTGATGGGTGCAGTCTATGGAAAGAAGTAGCAGCAAGTAGCAATATGGAATGGTAAGTGAAATGAAGAAAACTTATAATTGATGTAAGACAGCAGAGAGGAAGAAAACAATTTCAACTATTTTAATTTATTTTTAAATGCAAACAAATGATGAATTTTTGATGATTGCATGAAATTTATTCATTTTCATGTTCTGTACAAAATTACACATTGTAATTTAATGGTGCACATTCATGGTATAGAGTAGAGATATATCATTTAGAATAATGGTTGTAAAATGGCAATAAAGGTAGTAATTGTAGCTTAAAGGGGGTTTTGCTGGGTTTTTATGTCATACTTTGGATTTTTTGATGTTGTAAGATTTTTGAAATTAAGACAGTTTCTGAGTTTCAGTCAAAAATTGTTTGGATTGTCTTCGAAAAGAGTTTGATTTCTTTATCAAAACTAGTTTGGATCGTCTTTTGATCAAAGTATGGATTCCTTTGAAAATTATTTGAATTCTCTTTTGAAACTAGTTTGGATTATCTTTCGAAATTAACTTGGATAATCTTTCGAAAATAGTTTGGATTTCCTTCGAAAATAGTTTGGATTCCCTTTGAAACTAGTTTGGATTTCCTTCGAAACTAGTTTGGATTTCCTTCGAAGCGAGTTTGAATTCTCTTTTAAAAATAGTTTGGATCATCTTTTGAAGCTAGTTTGGATTATCTTTCGAAAATAATTTGCATTTCTTTCGGAAATAGTTTGGATTTCCTTCGAATTGAGTTTGAATTCTTTAAAAATAGTTTGTATTTCTTTCGAAACTAGTTTGGATTTTTTTCGAAACTAGTTTGGATTTCCTTCGAAACTAGTTTGTATTTCCTTCGAAACTAGTTTGGATTTCCTTCGAAGCGAGTTTGAATTCTCTTTTAACAACAGATTGGATCATCTTTTGAAGCTAGTTTGGATTATCTTTCGAAAATAATTTGGATTTCTTTCGGAAATAGTTTGGATTTCCTTCGAATTGAGTTTGAATTCTTTAAAAATAGTTTGTATTTCTTTCGAAACTAGTTTGGATTTTTTTCGAAACTAGTTTGGATTTCCTTCGAAACTAGTTTGTATTTCCTTCGAAACTAGTTTGGATTTCCTTCGAAGCGAGTTTGAATTCTCTTTTAACAACAGTTTGGATCATCTTTTGAAGCTAGTTTGGATTAACTTTCGAAAATAATTTGGATTTCTTTCGGAAATAGTTTGGATTTCCTTTGAATTGAGTTTGAATTCTTTAAAAATAGTTTGGATTTTTTTCGAAACTAGTTTGGATTTCCTTCAAAACTAATTTGGATTTCCTTCAAAAATAATTTGGATTTCCTTTGGAAATAATATAAATTATCTTTTGATACTAGTTAAGATTCGGTTCGTTTGATTTCTTTCGAAAAAGATCGAAGTCATACCAAAGGAGTTCGACACTTGACCAAATAACTTCGAAACTTGAATTCTCAAAAAATTAAAGGTATATCACGATCCCAATTCATCCACAATTCCCTTAACTCTCTCAAAACTTTAAGCATGCTTTAAAAAAAGTTTTAATACACAAAATATAAATTGCATCGCAATTCATTTTCATTTTTCATCCAAAGTCGAGTGAGAGAAAGAAAGAGCGATGCAAAAAAAAATCCTATTTGTGCATGCCATATTAAGCATCATAAAAACCAAACTCAATTCTATGTATAGAAAATGGTGTGTAATGAAATGTATTTATGTAAATGGCAGGTATGCACTATAAAAAAAAAACTTTTTCTCTCTCTTCACCATAAATAATTTTTTCACTCACTCCTTTAAGCCATCATCTGCATATCATAAAAGTAGAAGAGTGGAAATGAAAATGCAAAAAAAAAGAGTCTTTTATGTAAAGCTAGCAAGCAGTATGGAGCGAGAAAATAAAATGTAAAAAAAAATAATATAAATGGCAAGAGGCAGTCATGTAAATGTAATTTTCATCATCACTTCTCAATCACTATATAACTTTACATTTTTTGTATGCGTTCATTATGCGAAGGTCTTGATACGGAATGAAAAAAATCCATGATGAATGTTGAAGCTTTATGGAGGCAGAAAATTACTTACAATGCAATTGAAATTATTTAGAAGGAAAAAATAACAAATTATTTTCATTAAAAAGGCGTGCACGTGAAATTTTTCCCAGTCCGGGATTCAAAAGAACAATTATTTATGTAATTTACGTAGTGCTTTATGCTCATTGGACTTGCATGAATCTTTCCATATGGCTGAGATATTCCTGAACAAATTACCTTGTTCCTACAGCATAAATGAAAAAAAGTGATATTTACGTGCTAAAGATGCTCTCAATTTGCAAGCAATTATTTGAATTTGCATTTTCACGTGAGCTGTTGATCGATGCAGAAAATTTTTGGTATCTTTAGGCACTTTCTATGAATTCTTTAGATATTTTCTTGTAAAGCACATTCAAGTTGGTAGCTTAAGCAATTATTAACTTTATTTGACTTTGAATGATCGATTTTCATAACAAAAATCTTCGCAGTAATCATTGAAATCTTGACAAATTGATTTAATTTTAATTGATAAAGTTTAAAACAGTCATTTAAAAGCAGTGAACTCATTAATAAGAACTTATAGCTTTATTTTTAGTGGTGCGATTTAAAACAGCAATTGAAGAAGTTGGGAAGAGCCATAAGTTGAAAGAAGTTTTTGGAAGAAAAAATCAAGTTAAAACTTACAGATTTTTTGATACATTGAACAACAAGCAGCAATGATCTGGAAACTTGAAAATTAATTTGAGTTTTCATCAAAATTAATAAAACTAAGGATGTGGAACTGATAAAAATGATCAAAATAGATCAATAATTAATTTATCAGTTCCGTAATCTTTTTTTAACAGAAAACTATGAAGCAAATTTTCAGATCTAGAACCAACATAGACTATAGTTGGCAAAGTGTTGAAACATTTATAACAAATATATCAACAACAGTTATGCACCAGTAATGAACATCTTATCTAGTCTTAAGTCAATTCGTGTCATGTGGTTATGACTTCTAATACATTTTGGGATCTAATCATGGTTGTAGAACTAATCAAGATGATCAAAAATCAAGAACTGAACAAGTTAAAGTTGGCAACAATTATTTAAAATTGTTTAATCTTCAAAAGAGAACAAGCTGAATTGAAAAAAAGAAATTTGAAGAACTTTGTAAAGAAGTTGTTGATTGTGAATTGCTACTAATCATTAATCATCAGTTGAGATATCAAACACAATTTAACATCATCAACAGAAGAAATCGTCAATAGATTCAACATTGATATATGATTCATCATGCAATAATTATTTGAGAATGAACTTTAAATATGAAGAAATAATTGTGAATTCCAGCCGAAAGTATTCTTGATATCCAGTGACAAAATGTTATTTATCAATTCATGATAATATTACGAAGATTCTAACAATCAATTGAACTCTCAGCTTCTTTAGAAACATATCTCTAACGTATCTCTCATTCCACCAAATCCTTTACATTCCCACACAAACATTTCCCTTGCAGATTTTCTCAAAACTAAAAGTGTTGCCTTCGTGGTCAAACACTTGTCCAATCAAGCATCCAATAAGTGGATTTAGTGCATCAAAAGTTTCAAAACCGCAAAACTCACCTATAATAATCCTCTTTACAATAGATGAGACCATCACGAGAATAGCAACTTAGTTCTGTATCTAAATTCTGTGAACATCGACAACACCGAAGGCAATTGACATGCCATGCTTGATCGGCTGTTAAGAGGTAATATCTGTGAGAGATAAAATTGAATTTTTGAAAATGCATTTTTTATATTGTGGGAAAATAATTCCTACCGATCTCTTATTGAAGCTCCACAACCGGAACACTTTTCAGGTGCCTGTTGCTCTTGATTTAAGTCCTTCAACATCTTACTTATCACTTTTATGCTTAATTTATGTCTTGATGAATTTAAATTTTCATAATTCTTTCTCATCAACTCTCCATTTTCATCAAACTCTTTGTTGGTATCTTATAAAGCATAATTATGGTTGCAACTACTGAAATTATACACAAGAAAAATGTGTTAAAAATGAAACATTTCGTGCAAGAAATAGACCTGATTAATTTACAATTAATTATTATCACATTAACACGATTGTAAAGTAAAATGAGATGTAAAGTTGGACTGGAATGAGTAAAGTTGGTATGTATATGAGTTTTACATATTTTTTATGCAACTCAATAGAGGTTCTATAAGGGCAATTCTACGAAAAGGTTTCATGAAAATAATCCGTATCCGTAATTGCATGAAATTTTTTAATTATTTTATTTTCACTTGTACATAGTTTTTCAAAAATATAATTCTCATTTCCTTTTCTATTGGTTAAACTGTGAATTATGATTACATCTGCACTCAAATTACTTAGCTATGGCTTGAGAAATTCATGGTTTTAATTTTAATATTTGATAGTTTTTTTTGGAATTGTCTTCAAATTACTGTTTCACTTATGAAATTTTTCGCAGAATCCAAATTGCAGCTTAATTAAGGCTTCCACAAATATGATTTTGACATCGTTTTGAAGCTTTTACTTTAAGCTTTAACTTTGTATTCTTAGTATTACTGGAAATTTCACCACCTTAAAAATATTAATGAAAACATTTTGGAAATTTGGGCGAAAAAATTCATGTGAAACAGAGTAATTTTTCGTAGAATGTAAATAATTCTTTAATTAACAATTCTTAATATGTTTGGGTGAGAACAATATGTAGATCTCGGTAAAATCTACTATTAAATACATGAAACATGGAGAGTAATGCAACTGATAAAGAGAAATATAGATTTGGAGACAAATTTGTAGAAAAAATCATTCGTAGAATCGCCCATAAACTCTTATCAATTTTTCAAATATTTTTTGACGGTTTATTTTTTAAAAATTATTAAACCGCTATTTTTCAAAAATTATTGAACCGTAGTTTTTTAAAAATTACTAAACCGTTATTTTTTAACCGTTACTTTTCAAATATTTTTTTACCGTTACTTTTGAAGTATATTTTAACCATTAATTTTACAAAAATTCCACAACCGTTAATTATATTTTCCATAACCCCTAAAGTCCTAAGAACCTCCAGCAGCCTCAATAAAACGAAAGGGAATGTAACAAGTAATTGAATCATAACATACAATAAAACTTTTAATTGCGTTTAATGGTGAATTAATAAATAGTTATTATGTTGTCCATTCTATCGAGACTGCCTACAGCACAACCTTTGTAATCGTTGAAGTCCCCATTATATGCTACACATTATTTTTTTTTTAAAATTATAGGCATAGACTTCAGTTGATTGTTGTGTCATGTAGGTACGTTTACTCATAATAATATCAAATCTATAGGCTTGTAGTGACTTGAATGCTATAACTAAACAGTAGCAAAATGAGATGACAAAATTTGTCATAAGTTCAATAGCGAGAGCACTTTCCAAAAATAGAATTAAACGATTGTTGGAAGTTTATAAGTGAGCGTTTTGTGAGACTTAATGGATAGACAAATTCGCTTTTTCAATTTTATTTTGCTGCTGGTTTTTATTGCTGTGCGTTTTGTGGAGGTTTCTGGATTCGTGATTTTAAGATAGAATGTGTATCAGATTGTCGAAGCTAGTGATTATTTTGGACAAAATGTTTTGAAAAAATAACGATCAAATTTATTTTGAAAAATAACTGTCAGGAAAATTTTGAACTTGTCATTTTTAAAAATCAGTTTAACGGAAGTCCACAACAATGCGCTTTGTACTCGACCCAAAATTCATTCATCACTTCCATCAAATTCCATTTTTCTCCCATTAGATCAACTCAAAAAAATATTAGAGCAAAAAATGAGTATAAAATTGCCTTGTCGGTCAAGACGTACGAATTGTGTGTATCTGTTGTCGGTACTTACGAAAAAAAAAACAGAATCAGGTTGAAATTAAATTACTATATGGAGCCGATTAAACGGTAGTCGTGTACAACTGAATGTTAAGCATTTAATAATAACTTGCCAGACTCGCTTACAATCAACGATTATTTGTTTATTAATTTTTACTTCTTTTTCCTTCTCTCATGTCTTCTCGTCTAGCATGAATTTGTATTTTAATCGTAAATGTATTGAAAAAATTATGCACGATGAATCTTCCAACATTGACTGTACATTGATGGACATTTTCATTCTGTTTCAATGGCTTTTATTCATTTTCTATTTTTTTATCGTCATCATTTGCTTTTGATTCTGTTTTTAATTCTGCGCATGTGACTGCGTCAATGGCGAAAGTTTTTTTTTGATTTATTTAATTTTGTTTTTATTGAGTCGAGTTAAAAAATATATGGGGTAGGGGAAGGGATTATTGAACTTTATCAGTGGTGTACAACCTTTTTTGTACCACGGCACACTTTTTTGTACCAAGGCATGACCAAAACCGCATACAGCTTACGGTTCGTGGGATATCCCAAATTTATTAATGGCACACCAGTGTGCCACGGCACATGGGTTGAACATCACTGAGCTATTGATCATCTTTAATTCACTAACATCCAACCAAAGCAGCTGCAACCAAAGGAGTAGAAAGTTATCCTTAATAATGTGTGTAAAAAGCACAGCCTTTTAGCTAGAGGCACTGCGATTCAAATTAGAACAGAATCTATTGTACCACACCCAAGGCTTGGAAACTATCCCAAATATCCCATTTATCCCATATATCCCAAAAATATTGAAAATAATCCCTGAGTCTGTATGCATTAGAATTGAGATATCCCATCATATCCTTAAATTACACTTCGAATACACTAAGGATACGTTGGGATATCTTTATTATCGTGCATACATGCTCTGGGATCATTTTGAATATTTTTGGGATATGTGGGATAAATATGATATTTGGGATAGTTTCCACGCCTTGACCACACTCTTTAGACCTCCAGTTTATAGTGGGATCCGAACCACTTGCCACCAAGTTATCTTTCCTTGTCAAAGGCATTCGAAGGAAGTGGGTTCGATTCCAACTTTAACATAGCTTTATTTAAATTGTATTGTTTAGGTAATCAACCTAGTCATGAAGTTTAGTCAATCTAGAACAATAAATTCCAAACTATGTGTCGCGACACACTAGTGAAACCAAGCAGATGGTCAGCCTAGCTAACAAGGAAGTCGATGGAGAAAGATTTGAATGAGTTTTGGTCTTCAAAATAGTTCACCAAAATGTAAGTGTCTTAAATTTTTAAAAAAAAAATTACACGTGTAACACCTCAAAAATCTACAACAACAACAACCTGTCAATTTCGCGACAAGCAAACAAATTAATTAGAAAAAATTTAATTTTCCACTTAGCAGCACAATTCAGCCACATCAATATAAATTTATATTTCTATTATCCACGTTATTACAAAGCATACACATAGACTAATGTAAATTTCATTCATGATTCTGGTCAGAGGTTAAAAATTCAATGAATGTATGATTACATGCTGTTAGATTGCTGAACATAAGCGACAAATTAATAGATTTGTCTGAAAAGTGCAATCAAAAGGCTAATTAATTAGAAAACATAAATGGCTTAATTGATTCAACAAGCGATTAGTTCCAGCTTTATTGGGTTTTAATTATTCAAATGAGATTAACATCGCGACTACTAGTTTTTCCCGTGCCACGGTAATTTTTTTTTATTGACTTTTAACACGTGATAGATACAATAACAGTATTGGTCTTAATACATCCAATCCGTGTATGAGACTAATGTAACTGAGATGTGGAAAAAATCGCTAATTTCTCTGCCTTGTAAGTTGTTAATCGATTGTAAAAATGATAGTTGGCAAACAGTAAGTTGAGTTAAGCAGAGTGAGAACTTTGCTACAACAGGTTAATTATGCGCAATTAACGTAAAATTTTCAATCAATTAAGAAACTCATCCATCAAAAAAAAGTACTTAGTTTCGCTTCTCTCGAGAAAAATTGATGGGTATAATAACTTTTACTAGTTCCTCTTTCTCCTTCTTTTAAATATTTCTTTTGAGATGGATGAGTGGAACTGGAAAATATTAATCATCATTTTACTGAGCAATGTGGGTTAGATGTGAGGGAGATTTTGGATTGAAATGACTTTTTAGTCATTTTTGAGTCATTTCTGTTAAAGGGTGAATCTTAGGTACTAAATGAAATGATTTTTAAAGCTAAACAAGATTATTGCTTGTTACATGCAATCCTAGGTTGATTAACTATTGTTAGCTAATAATATCTTGATATGGAAATCTAACGCCCCGCAACCTACACCCTCCATAACCTACTTTGGGTTTAAGTCTCTAACCTAACCTAGAAACTGGGCCCAGGTTACGCTTTTAGTGACAAGATTCAACTCAGATATAGCTAAGTTTTAATCTGAGCCTTAATATTCTTAAAACAAGACACTCTAGATCAGTGATTGATAAACTCCAATGTTAGCAAAGAGAACAGAATCCGTTACAAACAAAAAAATTTCAAAATTTTCGCGCGGTATTTTTTAAAATTTCAAAATAAGAAAGTCCGTTACTTTTTATTTCTTTTAAAACTAGCTGTTTTTTAAAGCATTAGCATTTAAGGAATGCAATTTCATCACAGTGATTATTTTAATCATAAAAACTAATGTTCACTAAAATTACAAATTACTCGAAAAATAATAATTCACAACGAATTTTTTTAAATATAAAAACTTCGAAGATTCGATTTTCGAAAAATAAGAACCTTAAAAATTCGAAGTTCGAAAAATAAGAACTCAAAAATTTCTGTTTGCTAGCATTGGGATAAACTGTTTGCCACGGGGTATATGGGATGCTCAGATGAGTCGCAATTTAATTATTAATTACAAGGGGGTCCTCGACTTGAGTAAGTGTTTTGTTCCAGAAAAATCCTGTTCAAATCGAATCTATTCAAATCGAATCTACTCAAATTGAGGACCCAAAGTGCTGCTCGTAGTAACTACATCAGTGTTGCTC